CTTCATTGCATTGGCTCTTCATTGCATTTGCTCTTCATTGCATTGGCTCTTCATTGCATTTGCTCTTCATTGCATTGGCTCTTCATTGCATTTGCTCTTCATTGCATTGGCTCTTCATTGCATTTGCTCTTCATTGCATTTGTGTAAGTGAATACGTGACTGTAGTTCCACCGCCCACGCCCTGCACCGTCCACCATCTCAACGAGTCTCTCTCCTCGCTACTCTTCCGACCTTCTCCTCTTACAGCCATCGTGTGACATGCTGCTTCTGCTCCCCTTGTTCCCCAACCCCCCCCAGGCAACGCCAAGACATCGCTGGTGATCAACGTGGCGCCCACCGTCCACCACCTCAACGAGTCCCTCTCCTCCCTGCTCTTCGGCTCTCGGGTATGCTCTCCCCGCTGCCGTTTGCCTATCGATTATTGGCTACTTTCCTCCTAGCGATCTACACTGTGCCTTATGCACTCCCAACTCCAGCTAACCCCTACTCCTCTCTGTCCCTGCTCTCTGCTTCTGGCCCGCCCTGTTCTCCTCCTTGTTCCTCCCCCTCTTCTGTGCTGCTCTTCAATGTCCCATGCGCCAGGCGATGGAGGTGAAGACGAAGGCGATGGTGAACGAGGAGGAGGAGTACCGCATCCTCACACGCACGCTGCAGGAGACCATCGACGAGCATGACGACCGCGTGCACTCCCTAGAGGTACCATCTCAAAAAAAGGTACTCCCCGAGGTGCCCCACTCCCGTTTAATTTCTCTCTATTCAGTTTCCTCTGCAGGCGGAGAGGAAACAGCTGTCTCGAGTGATTCCGTTCGAGGCAGCGTTACCAGCAAGCGCAGCACGGAACCTTCCCTGTCGTATCTTTCCACATCCCCATCCCCATCCCCATCCCCGTTCCCATCCCCATGCCCATCCCCATTTCCGTCTCCATCCCCATGCGCATCTCCATCTTCATCCCTATCCTGGATCCCCATTTCCAGGTGGTGGTGTACTCGCAGGAGGAGCAGCTGTCGCAGGCCAAGGCGAGTTTGGAGGAGCAGAAGGAGCTGGTGGGGGCGCTGCAGGCGGAGAGGGAGGAGATGGAGCAGAAGCTGGCTGAGGGGGTCGCTGCCGTGGAAGAGGAATGGGCTGCCAAGTAAGTTCCACGGGAAGGGAAAGGGGGAATTGGTAGAGAAGATGCACGAGGGTGTGAACATGGGTGTACGGTTGAGGCCCAAGAACAGCGCTGCAGGCGGAGGGGGAGGAGATGGAGCAGAAGCTGGCAGAGGGGGTCGCTGCAGTGGAAGAGGAATGGGCCGCCAAGTGAGTCTGATGGGCCAGGGATGGGCCGAATGGGATATAGACGATTCGCATGTGCCCTTTCCATGCATCCCCATATCATCCGTCCTCTCCTCTATCCATCCTTGCCCACGTATCCCCCTCGGTGCATCACTACAGGCTTGATCAGGCTGAAGCGGAAGCGAAGCAACAAATGGAGGAGGCGCAGCAGACCTTTTCGAGACGTTTCCGTGTGCGTTTTCCATGCGTCCTCGTCCACCGATCCTCATTCATCCATCCTCCCCCATGCATTCCGGTCCGTGCATCGCTGCAGGCTCGAGCAGGCTGAAGCGGAAGCAAAGCAACAAATGGAGGAGGCGCAGCAGACCTTTTCAGAGGTGCGCGCTAGCACACTGGGCAAGGCAGCAGCAATACAGTAGTAGTGCAGTAGTGATAGCTATTTGGGGGGGTGATGATGCACTGATGATGCACACGCTTTCTCAGGAACGGCAAGGAAGCGAGAAAATGCAGGGTATGCGATTTCATGAGCCTGAACGCCCGGAGCAGCAGGAATCGTGCAAGGCAGAACTGGCTGTGGGATTTCATGTGCCAGAACGCCAGGAAAGGCATGAAAAGCTGGGTCTGGAATGCAGCAGGCAAGACCAGCTGGGCCAGTTTCAAGGCACAGAAAAGTGGTGGATGGAAGCAATTCGGGAGCTTGGGTTGGAGGAGGGGCGAGACGAGATGAGTAACAGCTCAGGCTCGTTCTCTGGAATGCTGATAAGGCAGCGAGGGGAGAGTGAGGGATCCGCGCAGTCCTGTGGTGATGCATGTGGTTTGGTGCAGGAGGGTGCAGGGGACGCAGGGCAAGAGCTGATGGTTGAAGAGGCTTTACAGGAGAGCGATAGTGGGGAGAAGGGCAGTGAAGGGGGAAGTAGGGATGGGGAGGGCACTGGCGATGGGGAGGGCACTGGCGATGGGGAGGGCACTGGGGATGGGGAGGAAGAGGGCAGTGAGGATTGGGAGGATGGCAGTGGAGTGAAGGAGCTCCTTGATTCTTTCACCTCTGCTGCTCTCACCCACGTGCAGGTCTGCCACCCCCCCTCTTCCCCTCACACACTCTCTCTCATACATTCTTATGCCCTGTCTGTCACCCGTTTCTTGCCTGTGTGCTGCCTCTGTGTGGTTGCCTTCTCACATTGCTACTACCGCGTGCAGAATCTCTCCAAGGCCACGGAATGCCTTACTGTGGAACGGGACGAGATGGCAAAAGAGCTGGCATCGGCCCGAGAAAGTAAGTCCGACACCTCCTTTTTTTCTACTTCTTCTTCCCAATTTCTTCTAAACAGCAAGCCAGCCTGACTCTCAGGCGCCTTAACCACATCTCAGAACTCAAATTTTTCAATGGAACGGTGATGCAGTGGCACAACAGCCAGTGCCTGCGTGTGCCTTCTTCCCTCCACTCTCCCTCTTTCCCCTTCCCTCCCTCCTCCCCTCCCCGCATCCTGCCCAACCCCCCTTCCTTTCCCCATCCCATTTCCCCCTCGCCTCTGCAGTGGTGCAGCGGCTGGAGCAGCAGGTGTGGGAGGCGCAGGAGGCAAAGGGGCAGCTGGAGGAGGCTCTGTTAATCACTGCTTATGCCTGATCCTCTTCACCCTCCATCCAACCCCCCCCCCCGCCCTTCCTCCCACCTCCGCCCATCTGCAGTGGTGCAGCGGCTGGAGCAGCAGCTGAGGGAGGCGCAGGAGGCAAAGGGGCAGCTGGAGGAGGCTCTACTCATCGCCTCAGAGTCAGGAGAGGGTGGCGCTGACGGCACTGGCGCTGGCCTGCAGCTGTTGATGACTGAGAAGGCGGCACGGCAGCAGGCAGAGCAGGAGGTGGCGGTGCTGAGAGGGGAGATGAGCCGAGGACGGGTGAAGCTGGAGGAAACTGAGAAGAAGCTGGCACAGCAGATCGAGGTGAGAGGATTTACTTGCAGCCGTTTTGGTAACTCCTTATCACTTTCGAGAGGTTTCAGGTATTAGGGGACGTTGGTGAGAGGGACTTTGCAGTGCCACTGAGCAACTGACGGCACTGGGCTGCACCTGCTGATGACTGAGAAGGCAGCACGACAGCAGGCAGAGCAGGAGGTGGCAGTGCTGCGAGGGGAGATGAGCCGAGGGCTGGTGAAGTTGGAGGACACAGAGAAGAAGCTGGCACAGCAGATCGAGGTGAGCAGGGGTGTGGGTGGGTGTGAGGACAGTGGGATGTGAAGTGCCTGTATGCAGAGCAGGAGGTGGTGGTGCTGAGAGGGGAGATGAGCCGAGGGCGGGTGATGCTGGAGGAAACTGAGAAGAAGCTGGCACTAAGCAGCTGAATTTGCTGGTAGGGCTCTGGTTGGAAAGTGTATCCCGAAACCAGGAAACCACACAGCGCGTTGAGCAGGAGAAAACACGCAAGGCGAAGAGCATGAGGCTGAATGCCCTCTCAGGTCCCAGCTAAATCTCCGTTTCAACCCACCGTGTCACATTTCAGGAAACCACGCAGCGCGTAGAGCAGGTGCGGGCGCTCAAGGCGGAGAGCAAGAGGCTGGATGAGCTCGTGGTGGCCACCAGCAGGGCACTGCAACTCAAGACCTGGCTAATGCGGTGTCTCCACGTCCTGTCCCTCTTGCTGTCCACGTTAATGAATCTTCCCACTGTCTCGCATAACAGGAAACATCGCAGCGCGTTGAGCAGGTGCGTACGCTCAAGGCGGAGAGCAAGAGGCTGAATGAGCTCGTGGTGGCCACCAGCAGGGCGCTGCAAATCAAGACCTCGCTAACATGACGTTTCCCTGTCCTGTCCCTCTTCCCTGACATAACAGGAAACCACACAGCGCACCCAGGAGGTACGCGCGCTCAAGGCGGAGAGCAAGAGGCTGAATGAGCTCGTGGTGGCCACCAGCAGGGCGCTCGTGGCAGGAGCAGCCGATGCTGCTGGCAGGGCTCTGTCGTCGCTTGATCACCACTTCTGCGCTCCCAAGATCAAGACCTGATAACTACAGTGTTCGTGTTGACCGAGATCAATAATGGCATTTAAGGCATATGCAAGGTTTTATACAGAGTTAGCAGCTTGTGTTTTTGCTGGACAGCTGTTGCTTCCAAAGAACGTGCATTTTCTGTAGTGATGTGTTAGGGGTTGGGCATATTCACCACTGTGGTCTCTGCAGCTCTGTGCTGTGTGTTCCTTGTTCGTAGAATTATCAAAATGTGTGTATCTTGTGAGTAGACTACACCATGTAATCCATAGTGCTAAGCTACTGTATACTGTGGAGCCTGTTCAACAGATACATTCTCCAACTAGTCAAAAGAGTTTAGCAACTCAAAACTCCACGCGGGAAATCCAAATTTGGCAACACTTGTACACCAACTCAAACCTCAAACCAAGTTCACAAGGCACTACACAACTGCCGAGCATCCCTATAACGGGGATGCTATGTCCCAGTATTACATACATCTATTCAGTACTACACTCACATACGGATAGAAACGTCCTACATTCATGCTAGCAACATGCGTCGCGGTTTCGCTGGCAGCTTTTGCCTATGTCATTTTTTGTAACCAGGCTCCAACAATTGTCTGGTTGCCAGATCAGCTGGTCACCACGTCGCCAAATTGCCAGGTCAGCTTGTTGCCAGGTCGCCAGACCGTCACATCAGCTCCTTATCTGGCCGCCAGGTCAGCTCGTGAGCTGGTCCTTCAATCTCCTGATCGCCTGGTTGCCAGGTCATCACAACCTTCTCAACAGTGGTTGGTGATCGTCATCGCTGGTAACCAGATCTGTTACCGGTGTGGTAACAGGGTCACCAGAGTGCGAACTGTGTGCTTCTCCTGCTTGTGGCCCCACGGCTGAGCCTAGGAAACGCCTGCTGTTACCATTGCTCGTGCCTGGATTCCCGCTGCTGCTATTGGTATACTCTCCCGCTCTATTATTGTCAGGATAAACCTCGTGATAACCCCGCTCAGCATTGCTGCTGGTATAATCTGCTTCTTGGTTGCCACTGTAATAATCCCCTCCTGCATTGCTGCTGTTACGACCGGATTCTCTCCTGCTGCCGCTGCTGGTGTAATTACCCTCTCGGTTTGTTGTGCTGTGACGGCGGTCGTCAGGCGAGAACGGCCCGGAAAATTCCTGCAGTGGCGGATCGACAAACAGAACCTGTCGGGTTAAGAGTACCGCTATTCATCCGAGCATATTAACGGTGGGATTCGTTCATAAGGGAAGTAAGGGGCCTTTGAAAGATTGCTCATCAAGGAAAAAAGCGGAAGAGAGAAAAGAGAGAAAAAAAGGGAAAAGCGAGGAGGGACGAGGGAAGGGTGGCGAAGACGGAAAAAACAAGTGTAACAAGGTGCGATGCAATAGATAGAGCAGGCGACTTGCCTGTGAGGGAGGCTGGCTGTATGGGAGAGATGCAGAGGAGGCGTCAAGGGCCATATCACCACTGCAAAGAGAGAGAAGCGAGTCAAACAAGAGGGGAGGACGGGAAGAGAGAGGAGAGAGGAGAGAGACGATAGACAAGTGAGACAACAAGTGTCAGATGAAGTGGGACGAAGAGCCGGATCATCAATGTGAAGAGAAAGACGGGACAAGTGTAACAAGAGAGACACGAGTGAGAGCTGCAATATTTGGAATTCCGATGCGCTCAGACCTGTGATATTCAAAGAGAGACCTGCAATGATTTGGAATTGATCAGACCTGCAATCAACCGAATCTGTTGTGAAAATTGTACCATACCTGTAGTCAAGACTTGGCCCGTACCTGTAGTCGAGCCCTCTAATGCTCATCCTGAGCAGCCTCGGAATACCGCCTCTTGACTGGGGTGAGAGATCACCCAAATGCAGGGGGGAGGACGGAGCAGCAGAGGGGGAGGAAGGAGCAGCAGAGGGAGTGGCGTAGGGGGAGGCATAGGGGGAGGCATCTGGGGAGGCGGAAGGGGAGGCGGAAGGGGAGACATATGGGGAGGCGGAAGGGGAGGCGGCAGGGGGGGCGGCAGGGGGGGCGGCTGTAGTGTAAGGTTGAGTAAGGTTAGGGGAGGCGGAGGGAGAGGGGAGCGAGTGAGAGAGTTGGGAAGCGTGGGGTGAGTGAGAGGGAGAGGGAGGAAAGCGGGGGAGAGAGTGTGGAGTGGAGAGGGGGAACTGGATGGAGTGTGAGTGAGTGGGGTGAGAGGAGGAGTGAGAGTGCGAGCGAGTGGCTCTATTGGGAGGGTTGTTGTCTGCTCCTCTTGCTGCTGTTCCCCTTCCTTCTACTCCCCATCCTCCTCCTGCTCCTCTTGCTCCTCCTTCTCTTGCTCCTCCTCCTCTTGCTGCTCCCCCTCCCCCTCCTGCACCATCCCCTCGCCCTTCCAACACAGCCAGTGCCTCTGCCTCTGCCACTGCTCCTGCTCCTGCTCTTAATTGCTCGGCAGGAGCAAATAGAGTTTGTGGTGCCAACCCAAACGGGATCTGAGACGTCCCAGAAGAGCGGGTAGCAGTGTGAGATGGCCGAGGAACTTGCCCGTATGAGCTGCCAATGACCACTAAAGCAGGGTTCCGTGCAAAGGAGGTAGGCGTCTGGGCAGATGGGGCAGAGTGCTGGGCAAATCGAGTAGACCTTTGTACAGATGAGGCAGGAGGGGTTTGTGCAGTAGAGTCTCTTGCAAAGACAGGGGGGATCTGTTCGCGAGGCGACTCAAAGGCAGCGGCCTGTCCACTAGCCTCTCTGGTAGGGACCGCTGTTGCTGTATTTGGCCAAGCCCAATCTGGTTCGGCCGAACCAGACCGGGTTGCCAGGTTCGGCAGATCCGAACTTGGCGCTGAGGCTTCGCCTGGGATGGGTTGGTGTGTGGAGCGGTGGGGGAGTTGGTGCAGCGGCGCGGCGAGGTGGAGAGCGGTGATGGGTTGTTGGGAGGTGAGGGGTTGGTGAGCGGTCGAGAGGTGTTGCGGTGAGGTTAAAGAGGGTACAGAGGGGTGGAGAGAGACAGAATGAGAATGACTGGGGGGTAGCATGAATGGAGGGATGGGCGAGGGGGAAGGGGCGGCTTGGGGAGCAGCGAAATAGGATTGGGGGAGAGGGTTGTGGGGGGGTTGGTGTGGAGAAGTGATGGGAAGGAGAGGAGCTGACATGGAAATGTGAATGGGGCGAGAGAGAGGGGTGGAGGGGGAAATGCCAACACCACCAGCACCAAGCACAGCACCACCAGCACCAGCGGCAGATGCAGCACCATTGGTGGATGGGAGGATGGAATCGGGAGTGTGGAGGGATGGGAGCGGCAGGGGGCTGATTTGAGAGTAGCGGTGTTGATACTGCTGCTGATGTTGGTAGTCTTGCTGCTGATAGTGCTGGTGCTGTTGCTGATGGCTTTGGTGGCGGTGGTGGTGGCTCTGCCGTGCACTTGATGCCCGCTCCAGTGGCTGCTGCTGCTGCTGCTGCTGGTGGTGGTGGTGGTGCTGCTGCTGCTGCTGGTGGTGGTGTTGCTGGTATGAAGCCGAGGAGGAGGAGGCGGGAGAGGCATGGGAGGAGGCAGTGGAGTAAGGAACAGGGGCAAGAAGCGTCCTGGTGAGGGGAAGAGGATGAGAGAAGGCGGGGAAGGAAAGGAAAGGCGGGAAGGCGGGGAGAGAAGGAAAGGAGGCCTGGCATTAGAGAAGCGAAAACAAAGACAAATGGGAGGAGGAAGTGGAGTAAGGTACAGGGGCAAGAAGCGTCCTGGTGAAAGGAGGCAAGGGAAGAAGGGGAGGAAAGGGGAGAAGGGGGGAGACGAGGCATTTGAGCCACAGAGATTTCTTCAATGGCGACAGGAGATTTGAAGAAAGAGAGGACGGAGGGTTGAGAGGTGGAGAAGAGGAGGCCACACCGAGGGCTCAATCTCTCCTTTTGAGGAGTCAACTCAAATGCGTTTCAAATCGACTCAAAGGTCATCTCGTACCCTGTCATGGGGGAGTGCTCGAAGGCAATGAGGCGACTTGTGAGTCGACTCAAAAGTCACATCGACTCAAAAGTCACATCGACTCAAAAGTCACATCGACTCAAAAGTCACATCGACTCAAAGGTCACATCGACTCAAAAGACATCCCGTACCCTGTCATGGGGGAGTGCTCGAAGGCAATGGCGCGTAGCGCCTGCACCACGTCCCCCATGGCTGGCCGCGCTGAAGGATCACTCTCATGGCTATGGCTGCTTGCACTGGGGTGATGGGCGAGTGTTCAAAGGACAAGTGGCGTACCTGGTCATGGGGGAGTGCTCAAACGCGATGGCACGGAGGGCCTGCACCACGTCTCCCATTGACGGTCGAGATGACGGATCGCTCTCCGTGCATCGCATGGCTATGGCTGCTGCCCGTGCCATGGCCTCCAGTGGAGGGGTGTGCAGAGGAAGGGGACCGTGGAAAGGGGAGGGCAGCACAGCGCGCACGCACCTGGTCATGGGAGAGTGCTCAAACGCGATGGCACGGAGGGCCTGCACCACGTCTCCCATTGATGGTCGAGATGAAGGATCACTCTCCGTGCATCGCATGGCTATGGCTGCTGCCCGCGCCATGGCCTCCAGTGGATAGCTGCCGCCCAGACGCGGGTCGGCGAAGTGACGCAGGCCTTGCTTGCTGTGGGAGGGAGAGGGTGGGGGTGGGATGAGATGGGATATTTGAGACGTCTCAACACTAGGTGGATCGGATAAGAATTTCTGACTGGAATCGAGTAAATAGCTGCCGCCCAGATGAGGGACGGCACGCTGGCGCAGGCCTTGTTTTCTGATGGTGAGACACATTGGTATGGGATGGGATAAGAATTGCTGACTCCAGCGGGTAACTGCCGCCCAGACGCGGGTCGGCGAAGTGACGCAGGCCTTGCTTGCTGTTGGCGAGAGAGGGTGGGGTGGGATTGAGACGTCTCAAAAACACTTTAATTTCACGGGTCGGCGAAGTGACGCAGGCCTTGCTTGCTGTGGGAGGGAGAGGGTGGGATGGGATGAGATGGGAATTTGGAGACGTCTCAGAAATGGATGGATGAGATCAGAATTGCTGACTCCAGTGGATAGTCGCTGCCCAGACGCGGGTCGGCGAAGTGATGCAGGCCTTGCTTGCTGTAGGTGGGAGAGGGTGGGGGTGGGATGAGATGGGAGATTGGAGACGTCTCAAAACATAGATGGATGGGGAAGACTTGCTGAACCAGTGGATAGCCGCCGCCCAGACGCGGGTCGGCGAAGTGGCGCAGACCTTGCTTGCTGTTGGCGGGAGAGGGTGGGATGGGAGGGATGAGATGGGAGTCTTGAGACGAATTGCTGACTGGAGTCGAGTGGATAGCTGCCGCCCAGACGCGGGTCGGCAGAAAGAGCTGACTCCAGTGGATAGCTGCCGGGCAGCTACGGGCCGGCCAAGTGACGCAGACCTTGCTTGCTGTTGGTGGAAGAGAGTGGGATGGCATGAGAAGGGAGTTTAGAGACGTCTCAGAAATAGTTGGATGGGATCAGAGTTGCTGACTTGAGCGGATAGCTGCCAACCAGACTCGGGTCGGCAAAGTGACGCAAGCCTTGCTTGCTGTTGGAGGGAGAGGGTGGGATGGGGTGGAATGGGATGGGATGGGGTGGGATGGAAGTTGTGGTCTTGTTGTTGCTGAGCCACTTTTGGGACCGGAAACAGGCCATGGATCTTGAGGAGAAGAGGAATGCTTGCAAGCATGGGTTCCTGCCATGCTTCTTCTCTTTGGGCCTGTCCTTTCATGGATTTCAAAGAATATCGTGAAAGGACAGGCCTCAAAGAGAAGGAGCATGGCATGCAGTGGCATGCATGCATGTGCGCATGCATGCATGTGCGCACGCGCGTATTGAGAGTTCCCAAGAAGGCCAATGGCACAGGCATGCATGCACGCGCGAGGAATGCAGGTTCTAGAGTATAAAGATTGAAACACCCCACCACCTTCTCTCCGAAACATTAGAGGAGAAAGAAAAGGCAGGCATGCACGTACGAGGAGAGGAAGGGCTTGGCCCACACCACGATGCTCGATACACCCTGCCTTGGACCTGTAGCAGCTGTTGCTGCTGCTGCACCTGCTGCTGTTGCTGCTGCACCTGCACCTTCCAAGCCTACTGCACTCTTCCTCCTCCTGCTGCTGCTGCTGCTCCTGCTGCATCACCAGCTGTTTGCGTTGACTCCAGAGGCACAAGGGCAGGGCGACCAGACAGCACTTCCAGCAGCACGACACCGAAGCTGAACACATCGCTCTTGGTCGCCACCCTGCCTGTCAGCGCGTACTCTGGCGCCATGTACCCAAACGTGCCGCGCATGTGCAGAGACTCCAGCCCAGCTTTCTCTCCTTCCGCTCTGCCTCTTGCTCCTTCTTCCGCTCTTGTTATGGTCTCTTGATTTCCCCCATCTTCATTGTTCCCTGATCGATTCTCCCCTTCCTTCACCTCCCTTGCCTCTCCTCCTTCCTCCCCCTTCTCTCCCTCTTCTCTTTCCTCTCCCTCTTCTCCCTCCCCACCTCCCCTCCTAACCCTACCCCTCCCGCCACCCCCCACCTTCTCCCTCACCACCCTCGCCAGACCCAGATCCGCAATCCTGGCCGTCCAATCAGCATCCAGCAGAATGTTCGACGTCTTTAAATCGCGGTGGATAATCCGAGGACTAGAGTCCTCATGCAGGTAAGCTAACCCCTGGGCCGCTCCCAGACCTATTTTCACACGCGTGGACCAGTCTAGAACGGCCGGCGTGGGGAGAGGGTGGAGAGGGAGGGGAGGGTGGGGGAGTGGAGGGCGGAGGTGGGGAGGGTGGAGGTGGGGAGGGTGGAGGTGGGGAGGGTGGAGGTGGGGAGGGTGGAGGTGGGGAGGGTGGAGGTGGGGGAGTGCAGGGTGGGGGAGTGCAGGTGCTCCCTCAGGTAAGCAGGGGAGTGCAGGTGCTCCCTCAGGTAAGCAGGGGAGTGCAGGTGCTCCCTCAGGTAAGCAGGGGAGTGCAGTTGCTCCCTCAGGCTACCCTTTTCGGCCAGCTGGAAGACAAGACAACGCACGCCACCCTCGTCGCAGGTTCCCAGAAGCTTCACCACGTTCTTGTGGTTCAGCCGGCTCAGCAGCCGAGCCTCCGTAATAAAATCCCTCTCCCCGTCGGGCGGCGAATCAAATCTTTTCACGGCCACCAGTTTGCCGCCCGGCAAGCACCCCCGGAACACCTGGCTCGACCCGCCTTGGCCAATCAGGTTGCTCGAGTGGAAACCAGCAGTGGCTGTGAGAATTTCTGTGAGGGAGAATGAGAAAGTGGCCTCAGCAAATGGGGCTAGGGTTTGCATAGAGGCTCCTTTAGATGCTCCTCTGGAGGCTCCTTCCCTTAGGGCTCCTTTTCCCCTGCCTCCTGCTGCTAATCCTCCTGCTGCTAATCCTCCTGCTGCTAATCCTCCTCCTGCTCCTCCCCCTCCTTCACCTGCTCCTCTTTCTGCGAATTCTCCTGCTGCTCCTGCTGCTGCCACTCCTTTACCTGCCCACTGCCCCTCTGCCCCCTGCTTTTCTGCCCCTGATGCAAGCGGCATGTAATGGTCATCGTCACTCTCCCCTTCAGCCCACGCCTGCACCTCTTCCCTCTCCTGGCCTCCCCCCACCCGCCCAACAACACCCCCTCTTCCTCTTGCTCTCCCCTCATCCCGCTCCTCCCCTCCCTCCTGCTGCCCTGACCTTCCCCCACGTTCCCACCCGACCCTCTCCGCCCCTCCCTCCATCCACCCTTCTCCTACCCTCTCTCCCTCCCGTTCTCCCTTCCGCCTCCCTCCTCTCCTCCCTCCTCTCCTCCCTCCTCTCCTCCCTCCTCTTCCTTTTTCCCCACTCCCCACGCTACTCTTCCAAACCCCCATCATTCTCTTAGCCCCTCTACCCGCCCTCTCCCAAGGTCTCTTCCTCACGCACCACACCACCACACAGAGAGTGATAATCGCGAGGATCAAGGCAGGGAGAACGATCATGAGCATGACCTTCCAGTAAGGCATGCCCCCGGGGGAAGGAGGGGGGGGAGTGGAGGGAGGGGAGGGAGAGAACGGGGAGGAGGAGGCGGCGGAGGAGGGGGGTAGAGGGACGGGAGAGGTGGAGCGGGAGAGTACAGGCGGAGGCGGAGGCGGGCGTTGACCTGGGGGGAAGATATTTGGGGGGATACAGGGGGGAAAGAGGGCGGGGTGAGAGGGGTGGAGTAGAGGGAACGTTGAGTAAAGACGTGGTGGGGGAGAGTACAGGAGGGGGCGGAGGCGGGCGTTGACCTGGGGGAAAGATACAGGGGGGATACAAAGGGGAAGGAGAGCAGGGGAGAACGATCGTGAGCATGACTTCCCAGTAAGGCATGCCCCCGGGGGCAGGAGGGGGTGGAGTGGCGGGAGGCGAGGGGGAGAATGGGGAGGAGGAGGAGGCGAAGGAGGGGGGTAGAGGGACGGGAGGGGTGGAGGGGGAGAGCAGAGGAGGGGGAGGAGGCGGGCGTTGACCTGGGAGGGATACAGGGGGGGAATGAAGCGAGGGGAGAACGGGGGTGAAGGGAGGGTGAGTGGGGAGGGAAGGCGGCAGGAAAAGGGCATGAAGCACGAGAACAAAGGCTGGGGGCGGCAGTGGGCGTTGGCCTGGGGGGTATACAGGGGGAAAGTGGGGGGGGAGAGGAGGGGAGAGCGCTAAGAGGGTGGGAGCGAGGGGAAGCAATAATTGCTCAGAAGCAGCTATCCCACGCAGCTATCCTTCCCTGCATTGATCACCCCTCTCGTACCCTCACCTGAGGTGGGCACCAGAATTTTCTCATACGCCCCAAACATCTGTCTGTCCAGCACCAACGATCTGCTCAGGAGGTGATGATCCCTCCCTATGATTGATCAGCCCTCTCTCACTCTCACCTGGGCTGAGAATCAATATCACTTCGTAGGCCCCAACATCTGCTTGTCCAGCACCAGCGATCCGCTGAACAGCAGCCGTCGGATGCGATCCACAAAAGATGCTCCCTGCGAACGAGGAATCACTTCACTATATCACCCACCTGGCCTGAGCACCAGAATGACTTCATACGCCCCAAACAGCTGTTGATCCAGCACCAGCCATCCGCTCAACAGCAGCTGTCGGATGCGGTCCTGCAAGTGATGATTTCTCTTGCACTTGTACTCTCTTGCTCTCTCTCAATCTCGCGCTCACCTGGCCTGAGCACCAGAATGACTTCATACGCCCCAAACAGCTGTCGATCCAGGACCAGCGATACGCTCAACAGGTGATGACCCCTCCCTGATGATTGATCAGCCCTCTCTCACTCTCACCTGGGTTGAGCACCAGTATCACTTCATACGCCCCAAACAGCTGTCGATCCAGCACCAGCAATCCGCTCAACAGCAGCAACTGCATGCAACCCACCATCCCTTCGTCTTCCCCTCCGTTTTCCCCTCACCTGGGTTGAGAACCATAATGACTTCATATGCCCCGAACAGCTGTCGGTCAAGCACCAGCGATCCGCTCAACAGCAGCCGTCGGATTCGATCCACCTCTGCTGCACTCAGCCGATCCGTGACTGGCTGCTGCTGAGCAGTCGGTGCTACTGGTGGGCGGGAGGAGGAGGAGGACTGAAGGAGGCGAGAGACTTTGCCCGACGACGAGGAGTGATGCGAAAGAGGGGAGGGTGAGGAGGAGGCGATTCCAGTTGCTACTGCTTCTGTAGCTGCTGCTGCTGCTTCTGATGATGATGATGGTGATCTGATTGGCCTCGCTTCGACACCTGCTCCACCAGTTATTGTTCTCCCTTGAGCACCAGTGGCATCCGCAGCAGCAGATGAGGCAACAGCAGCAGCAGCGGTTGTGGAGGAGGCGGCAGCAGCAGCCGCAGACGAAGAGGAAGAGGAGGCGAGGGGCAGGAGATAAACAGTCACATCCAGAGCCGCGGGATCAGGGTCATAGTTCACTGCCCATACCTGCACAGCATGTGGTAACCAGGTTACAGATGCGGGAAAGCGAAGGGGGAGAGTGGGCGTTACACACACATAGTGACATTCAGAGCCGCGGGATCAGGGTCATAGTTCACTGCCCATACCTGCACGGTATGTGGTAACCAGGTTACCAGTGGAAAGAAAGGACGGGGGAGAGGGGTAGGAGATATAAACAGTGACAGCCAGGGCAGCAGGATCAGGGTCATCATTCTCTGCCAATACCTGCAGCAGAGATGGGGTGACCAGGTTACCATTATAAACAGCATGGGGTCAGCAATAAAGCATGACCCCATGCTCACACTCATCCTCACACTCACTCTCACCCCAACTGCAAACCCTCTGCCTGACTCACCTCCACTTGCTCTTTCTCAGGTATAAGTGAGGCGGCTGTTCGTGGGCTCTAGGGTGGGTGTGGGTCCTTGCACGGGCCCTACCTCAGCCTCACACTCACTCTCACTTCATCTGCAAACCCTTGACTGACTCACCTCTACTTGCTCTTCCTCCAGTGTGAGCGAGGCGGCCGTCTGTGGGCTCTAGGGTGGGTGCTGGTCATTGCACGGGCCCTTACCTCACACTCTCTCATCCCCCATCTGCAAACCCGCTGACTGGCTCACCTCTACTTGCTCTTTCTCAAGTGTGAGCGAGGTGGCGGTTTGGGCAGTGAAGGCAGGGAGGTTGAGGAGAAAGGAGTCGAAGCCGCAATAGAGCTTCATAACCACCACCATGGGGAGACCGCAGGTGCAGGGCGGAGGGGCGGAGGGGGGGACGGCGGGGGAAGTGGAGGAGGGGGTGGGGGAAGGGAGGAGGACGTAGGTGTCTGGGCAGGGGGGACAGTCTGGTGGGGGTGGGGGACGGGGGGAAGGGGAGAGGGGGAGTGGAGTGAGAACAGGAGGAACGAAGCAACTGGTAAGCAAAACATGAAGTGAGAAGTGGCATATTGGGAAGAGAGAGGAACTAGAGACGTGGGGATGAGAGAAAACAGGGGATTGATGCTTAAGGGGACATTGAGGCAATGAATTAATATAAATGAAGAAGATACGAAGCCAAGGATTTACTCCCTTATCCATCGATTTCTTATGCACCTAATAATATTCATCCAAAATATCCAGGATATAACAAGCAGGGCGATAGAGATGAGACAGTAACTCCAACAACTCACTTCTGCTATCCGGCGGTGGGGGCGGCAGCGGAAGCGATGGGGGCGGCGGCACAGGAGAAGGGGGCGGCAGCACAGGGGAAGGGGGAGGGCTCCAGGTGGTGACAGGCGCGTGGGAGGAGTTGGGGTGGGGTAGGAACGCCGGCTGTGGCGGCGGCGCTGCAGGTGCTGAAGCAGGTGGTTTCTCAGGTGCTTTTGGTGCTGGCGCAGGTGGTATTTCAGGTGCTTTTGGTGCTGGCGCAGGTGGTATTTCAGGTGCTTTTGGTGCTGGGGCGGGTGGTTTTCCAGGTGGTGGTTGTAACTGTGGTGGTTTGACTGGTGGGGGTTGTGGTGTGGGAGAGTTGGTTGGTGGTTGAGCTAGGGGTGGTGAGGGTGTGAGAGGATGGGGGGAGGGAGGAGAGAGAGGGGGAGGAGGCTGTTTTGGAGGGCTGGGAGGGAGGAGAGAAATGGGGGGAGGAGAGGGGAAGTCTGGAGGAGGGAAAGGAGGAGGAGGGTGTGGAGGGGGGTGCGGTGAGGGATGGGGAGGGGAGAGAACGGGAGCAGGGAGGAGGGAGGACAGGACCGAGGGTGAAAGGAGGAGAGGGGGTGGTGAGGGGGGGGAGAAGAGCGGGGGAGTGGGGGAGATGGGGGAGAGTGAGGTGGAGGGGAGGGGGGAGAGTGGGGGAGCAGGGGCGGGAGGAGGGGGGGGGAGAAGAGAAGGAGGAGGGGGGGGGACTAGGGAGTGAGGGAGGGGGAGGCTCTGTAGCATTTCCCATATCATTAGAGTTGGCAGGTGGGGGGGACGGGTGTGAAGGGGGAGAGGGGAAGGGAGGCGGGGGAGAGTCAGGGGGAGGGGGAGAGGCAGGGGGTGGACTAGGCGGAATGGGAGGGGGGCGGGGGGATAGGGGAGGGGCGGGGAGGGGAGGGGAAGGGGGAGGAGGGAGAGGTGAAGAAAGCGCGGGGGGCTCTTGGGGAGGGGGTGCTGGAGGCAAGGGGGAAGGCGGAGAGGAGGGGGGTAGAGGGGTTTATAGAGCGGTTGCAGGGGGGAGGGGGACAGGGGGAGGGGCGGGCACAGGAGAGGGAGAAGGCGGGGCGGGGGGGGAAAGAAGGACAGGGGGAGGAGCGGGAGGGGAGGGAAGGGGGTCTGGGAGGGGAAGGGGGAGGGGGAGGCGGGGGAATTCATGTCCCCAAAAGGGGGGACAAGGGGTGGGAGAGGGAGAAAAGGGGAGGGGGGGATGGGGGCGGAAAGGGAGGGGAAACGGGAGGGGAAGGAGGGGCAGGGAGGGGGGAGGTGGAGGAAGCAGGGGAGGGGAGGGAGGGGGAGCCGGGGGAGAGGGTGGCGCGGGTGGGGAGGGAGGGGGGGATGCTGGGGAGTTGAGATCCCCAAACGGGGGCAGTAAGGGGTAGAGGTTCGGGGGGGGCGCGGGAGGCGGAAGAGGAGGTGGGGGAGGTGGGGCAGGGGGGTTGGGAGGAGGGGGGACTGAGGAGCGGAGCGGAGGAATGGCGATAGCGTGTGGTGCATGATGGGAAGATCGGGAGGGGGGGAGGAGGGGAGGAGGGGGAGGAGGGGGAAGATGGGGAAGTGGGGAAGATGGGGAAGTGGGGGAAGATGGGGAAAGGGGGAGGGGGAAGAGGGGGAAGAGGGGGGGGAAGAGGGGGGGGAAGAGGGGGGAGGGGGGGGAAGAGGGGGAAGAGGGAGGCAACAGGAAGAAACACAGAATGGGGGAAGAGAACACAGAGAAAAGGGGAAGAAAGAGGGGAGCAAAGGGGAAATTAGCAGGATGCAAAGAAGAATTGTGATTACACACAGCTCGCCCGGTGTGGTGGTATGAACCATTGTGAAGGCAACATTGAATGGGGACCCGATGTGGTGGTATGAAAGGCAATATTTGAGTGAACTCTGGAGCACTGAAATGAGAGATGTTGTATGGGGCTCGGACAGCCTATGAATGAGAGCAGACAAGTATCAAAAGCAAAGATGTGAAAGGTGTATGTAGAGAGGGCGTTAAAGGGGTGGGGAGGGTGTGAAAGGGGTGGGAAGGACGTGAAAGGGGTGGGGAAGTGTGAAAGGGGTGGGAGGTGTGAAAGGGGTGGGGAGGATGTGAAAGGGATGGGGAGGAGCTGACCTGGCGTCGGTGGTGGGGGGGGGCTGGGGTGGAGGGAGGGGAGGAGGAGGAAAAGGAGGGGAAGGAGATGAGGGAGGAGAGGGAGGGGGGGAGGGGACGGTGGGAGGGGAGGGAGGGGGGGGGAGAGGGTGGAGTGGGAAGGGATGGAGGAAGGGCATATGACGACGGTGTTGATGCCGGTTCCTGGAACCACAGGGGGCATGGCATGGATGTTGATGCATGGATGAATGGATGTAAGATGCATGCATGGAAAATGAGAAACAGGAAGAGGAGAGGAGAGGAGAGAAGTGGTGACGAAGCGGATCGGAACGGCATGAGGGCGAGCAGACGCAAAGCAGCTACTTAATGCACCGTACTGCACTGCACCGCACTGGACCTCATTGCACCACACTGCATGAGAGAGCCACGAGGCTGAGGAAGCAGATGAGAATGGCATGAGGGAGAGCAGATGAAAATCAACAGCCTACATGAACTCACTGCATTCACCACACCGCACTGCACTGCACTGCACTGCATTGCACTGCATGAGAGCTTACCAGTGAGGATGAGGAAGCGGTTGAGAATGGTATGAGGGAGAGCAGACGCGGAGTCAGCGAACTCGTGACAGCTGCAGTCGAGGTTGCTGCTTCGGGAGCTGACGTGGCAGGAGTATCAGCATGTGACGTTGCAGGAGTGTGTGACGTGGCATGTGACGTGACAGGCAGTGAGTGGCTGATGTGGAGGAGGACTCGGTGCATGTGAAAGGTGACCTGGAAAGGGGGAGGGGGGGAGCAGCATGAGTCAGAGCATGAGAGTTAGTGGGGGAAAGGGTGAGAGAGAGTGAGACCACAAGACAGTGTTTGTGGTGGAGGAAGAGTCAGTGCATGTGAAAGGTGACCTGAAAAGGAGGGGGGGGGGAGAGTAAGAGGGGAGCACGAGGCCACGGGTGAGAGTGGGTGAGGGAATAAGTGAGGGAGTGAGGGACAAGAGAAGGGGAGGGAGATGGAGGGTACAACAGAGCAAGTCAGGGAAGCGGGTGCAAGAGAAACGAGGATGAATTAAGAATAAGTATGAGAACGAGAGTGAGTGAGATCTTACCTTTCTTGACAGATGCGAAAAGAGCTTCACCCATCTCGACCACTGTGTATTCTCTTCTGCCTCCCTCGGAACCAGCTCAGGTGAATCTCCAGGAGCTAAGACTGCGCCTGACGTGGCTAGTGGCTGGCCTGAGGAGGCCAGTGGCTGGCCTGACGTGGCTAGTGGCATGCGTGACGTGGCTAGTGGCATGCGTGACAAAGAGTCTTCAGGATTAGAGAGTGGTGATGAGTGATGGGGGGGAGATGGGGGACCGTGGGAGGATGGAGTGAGCGGGTGCTGAGAAGCAACAGGAGGAGGAGGCGGAGGAGGAGGAGGAGGAGGAGGAGAAGGAGGAGGAGGAGAAAGAGGTTGTGAAAGGGGGAGGGAGATGTTCCACGTGTGCATGAGGACGTGGCGTGCCATGAGCCCTGCAAGCCATGCCACGTCATCAGTGCGGTGCTGACGCAGCCAGAGAGAGCCAGGTGGCAGCAGCCTGTTGGTGGGGTAGAGAACGGATGAGAAAGGGATGGGGCGTGGAAAAGACGTGGTGGCTGGGCGGTGGCAGGACAGCAAGAGAGGGGGATCGAGACAAAGGCAAGGAGGGAAGGAGAGTCAAGAACGGAGGAGCATACCAGCAGAGCGAGTCCAGGCGACTGTCAGAGCATGAGCCATCAGCACACAGCAGAGGGGAGAGACGGAGAGCGAGAAGCAACTCGGGCAATCACAGCAAACGCACCAGCATAGTGAGTCCAGGCGAATGTCAGAGCACGAGCCATCAGCACACAGCAGCAGCAGCAGGGGTAGAGAGAGAGAAAGAAGCACATTCTGGGAAAGGGAGTCAGGGTAACATACCAGCAAAGGGAGTCCAGGCGAATGTCGGAGCACGAGCCATCGGCACAGAGCAGTGTGGGAAGATGGAGAGGGGGAAGCACATTCGGGCAGAGAGAGTCAGTACATACCAGCAAAGGGAGTCCAGGCGAATGCCGGAGCATGGGCCATCGGCACACAGCAGCAGCAGCGGGGGTAGAGAGAGAGAAAGAAGCACATTCTGGCAAAGGGAGTCAGGGTAACATACCAGCAAAGGGAGTCCAGGCGAATATCGGAGCACGAGCCATCAGCACACAGCAGCCGCAGCGACCCACTCTCATTCACCTCCGCCAGAAGTTCCTCCCAATCACGCTCTGCCACGTGGCCGCCTGCCAACCACAGGAGTGCCACGACTGGCCGCTTCCCCTTCCTCCCGCTGCTGCTGCTGCCACTGCTGCTGCTGCCGCTGCCACTGCTGCTGCTGCTGCTGCTGCTGCTGCTACCGCTGCTACTGCTGCTGCCGCCGCCACTGCTGCTGCTACCGCTGCTACTGCTGCCATCCACTCCCTCCTCCTTCGCCTCCTCTTCCGTCTCCTGAAGCAGTCTCAAGCACGAGATAAACCCTTCTCCTGAGCACATCCGTATTTTTTCAACCAAATCGTTCCCCACCTGTTGCACAGCCTGCTGCTCCCAGACCTCCCCCGCCTCCACTCCAAGCCCAATCCGAGCCAGCAGGCCCGGCATTCTGTCGCACATGCTGCCTGCCACAATCACCCCCACCGACCCACTCGTTATGTTGCCGTATCTGGCAACAGCCGTTGCTGCCGATTTCTTAAAACCCCTTGGTTTCTTTCGTCGAGCCTTTATCTGGGTCTCCTGTTGCTGCTGCTGTTGCTGCTGTTGCTGTTGCTGGTGCTGGTGCTGCTTCTGCGTCTGCTGCTCCTGCTGCCCCTGCTTTAGCTTCTGCTGCTTCTCTTTTCGATCCACCAGATCCCCTGTCCCTCGTTGCCACGGCCTTTGCCAGTCGAGCGGCCACTTCCCACCTGCATTGCCTCTTGCTACCTGCACCTCCTCTCCCTGCTGCTCCCGCTGCTTTTCCCGCTGCTGCTGCTGCTGCTGCTTCTGCTGATATGTCGGCTCTCGCTGTTCCTGCTGCTGCTGCTGCTTCGGCTGTTTCTGTTGCAAACCGTCTGCGCGATGCGATTGTAGAAGATCCAACGGCGGAGACAGCAGCGCCACGTCAGCAGCGCCAGGGGCGGCGTGGGGAAGCAGCAGCGCGCGCCAGCAGTGCTGGTCGAGGGCGCGCGGAACGCTGGGGGTAAAAAGGGAGGGGGGAAGGTGGGGGAGAGGTTGGGGCGGGGAGGGGCGGGGAAGAGGGAAGCAAAGGCGAGGAAAGGCGGCGGAGTGGGAGGGAGGTCGAGTCGAGGCGAAGGAAACAATAAGAAGAAAATGCTTCAGTGCAGCGGTAGTAGCACCCACCATTTCCAGCACGGTGGGTGTGATTGATCCGAGTCGCAGGTGTTGTCGTCGCTGCCGGAGTGTGACTGTAAGAGGAGGTTCTTGCAGAGGGAGGAGGAACCACCTTCCACCACGCACCACCGCACGTCTGGAGTAGGGCATGTGAATGCAACCGCAACGGACCGCAATGCAATGTGATGTGATGTGTGATGTAATGGGATGGTGATATAATAAGATGGTTACAATGGCGGGGTGACAGTTGAGTCGACTCAAACGTCAGCTTCATGGTTACAACAGTTACTCCATGACACGGTTACACTATTATACAACTTGCATTCCCCTGTCGGCGAGCATCGCATCGCATCTAGCCAGACCAACGTAATGAGTCGACTCAAAAGCCAGACGAACGGCATTTTCATTAGCAGCAGGTGACGCGTGGAACGCAGCAAGTCACAATGCAGTGGACCATTCGTAAAAAGACGTCCAGGCTAAAACAATGGAAAGATATAAGTTTGTTTTAAGGAATCTGAAGTGTTCATATGGCCGTTACCTTCGCCGGCAGCTGGTAGATTCGCCGGCAAGAGCAGGCTGACGATAAGTAGCGACGCGAGCCATACTCTCAAGAACTTCGCGGATCGCCAGTATCTCTTCGTCGGAACTCTATAAATAAGGTGCTGACGTGGGCCATACGGCTGACGTGGGCCGTACGGCTGACGTGGACCGTACGGCTGACGCGAATCGCGCTGATCTATCGGCTCGTTGCCGCCGTGAAGCCTGACGCCTGTTTCCGGGTCGCCGTCGCACGGCTGGCTTAGTCGGCGAGTCATACGAAATCGCCGTGTCGTTAGCAGTCGCAGCTACAAGTCGCACCATCCATTTCCCTTCGCCAAGAAGCCGGGTCGCAATGTGGAAATGGTGATACGCGCTATAAGGTTGTCATTAGCGGAACGTTTCATCGTCAGCGTGACGAGTCGCACGTAAGAAGCTCGATGCTACGATTCTGAACACATCGCTTATCCTGCAGCGAAGCGTTGAAGCGTCGACGGGGAATGAATGTATAATGCTGCAAAAAAGGTACTCGTCGTATGTGCCTATTCTCGCTTCCACGCACTCTCGGCCCAAACTTGACTTTATCTACCGCTTCTGATAGTGACTGCGCCTGCTCAAAGCGAAACTAACATATGCTATCGCCACCTGCAGGAAGCTGGAACGAATCTACCTGAAATGCGTCACAGGTGACCACTGAGATTCCCGAGGAGCATAAAATACGGAGTTCCTGTCCCTGACTCTAACTCGCGATAGCTCTGGCGATCATCCCGAAGCGAACAGCTTCACGACCTATCCGTTCGGTAGGAACGCGAAGTCTACTATCCGTCGGGTCGCGTTACCACTAGCGATCAGCTTCACGTTACGTCATGTTATGTCACGTCACATTAGTACCACGTCAGTGGTCACAAAGAAACACGACTGTCTCACTGGGCGGCCATGAATGGATTTTGCCCATGTGAGAGGGGTCTTCGCTGTTTTTCAGGAAGGCCACTGAAGATCAAATTTGAGATGGGTTTCGCACGGTAATTCATATTCCAGTCAGATAAAGTACGGTGCAGTGTGGTGGACGTTCAAAGGTGAGGAAACATGACTTGAGAGCCGAAGACCTGAAGAGAGGCTTGGAGAGGATGAAAGGGAAGGGCGAAGCCGAATGCTAGCTGGTTACCAGCTGTTGGTCCGTTCGTCAACATCGAGGTTGGCGAGGAAGGTGAGGGAGCAGGGAAGGAACACCTCAAGGGCCTGGTTCGGTGTGTGGGATCTAGGTCTGGGCGCGGTTCGCCAAAACGCACAACCGCGCCCCCTCAAGCTCGGAGCTCGGGTTCGGTTCGGGCTTGGGAGGGACCCGCGGGGAAAGGCGGAACGGAAACAGTGTCGAGGCGGAGGCATCTTCTGGGTGCTGTGCGGGGTGCTTGACGGACGGAGTCGTTCAATCGTCAAGATCCGCATTCCCCATCTCCTGGGGAATATGCGACGTTGTGCGACGAATTCGCGATTGCGACGGCAACCTTTTGGTGTGACGACCAATGTCTGATTGCCAAAATGGTCAAGTGATGCAGCAGCGATCGCACGATCAGCTGTTCTGGAAGTACAGATCGAATGGAGAAATGTCGGCAGCAGGGAACCAACCTCTCGCGTGGCGATTTGGGTGGGACCACCCTCCGCAGGTCGGGGGGCTGGACAGAATGGGCTTTTGAGAGGGGGAGGTGAAGATGGGGAAAGTGAGAGGCTTGGCCAGTGTGACTCTTGCGGTTCGGTGTGGTTCGGGCAGTAAAGTCTGGTCTGGTCTGGTCTGGTGTGTGTGCGTGGCGTGCGTGTCAACGCGTTTGTTTGTCGAGACGTGGCACTGTTACACGCCATTCTCGAGGCTGCCTTTTCGCCGAGCCTCGTTCCCACAACCGAACGTCCTTGTTGAAGCTTCTCTGAAGTCACCTAGAAATAGTGAGATACCAACGATCTTGACCAGGCCTGCCGCAGGCCAACTGAATCATTACATGAAAAAAGCAGTACACTCCTGCCGGAAATGACCGTGCACCATACAAAGTTTATAGAAACACTGCCTTTCATGCAAAGGTCAAGAGGCGATTCAAGTGCCCCCCTTTGAGCAGCATGATCATGGCATTCACAGCTTGCTGCATCTGCAGCAACGATAAAAACAAGATACAGATGGGAGTGGGGCAAACATGATCACGACAAGATACAGATGTGCAACCATTTATTCACAGGAGTTTATTCAGTGGGAGAGACTGACCTGCAATGGCGAGTGTGGCGGCACACTAACGTCCACGTCAAGCAAAACAGGCTGATCCTCCTCCGCCCGTTTCTTCAGGCAAAACAGCTTCACCCACACCTTCTCTCCTCCTCCTCCATCCGATCTCCATACTCCATCCCGCCCCCCTTGGCCGTTATCCCCACTGCAATGCATTTTGGGACCCTTGTGACAGTGCTTTTGATCCCTTAGTTCCTCGCGCTGCCCCTTTTGATTCTTGCCTGAGCCTTCTCCCTCACGCATCTCCTCGCAACCCTCCTCCTTCTCCCCTTCCTTCTCCTCTTGCACAACCCCAGAATCAACCTCACTTTCTCCCTCATGCTCCACTTCACTCTCACTCTCAATCATTCCCTCACCCTCTCCTTCACTCCCTCCCTCATTCTCTCCCTCATTCTCCTCCTCCACCTCTCCCACAGCGCCCTCCACTTTCTGCCTAGCAGCCTCTCTCACACTCATCTGCCCTCGCATAACAGCCAGTAGCAGAGTGCCATCTGCATTGCCCAGGCTAATTGAAGGGATTTGCACTGCTGCATCAGAGACCCCTCCTGCTGGTGTTTCTGCTGCTGCTGATGTCTCTGCTGCTGCTGCTGCTGCTGCTGCTGCTGCTGCTGCTGCTGCTTCTGATCCTTCTGCTGCCGATGAGAATTCTTCTCCTGCTGCTGATCCTTCAGTTGCTGAGCCTTCTTCAGCTGCTAATCGTTCTCCTGCCTCCGTCCCTTCCGTTGAAACTCCAAAATCAGGTGTGACTGCACCAAAATCCCCCAGTTCACCACCCTTCAACACCCCACCACCAGGTGTGACTGTATCAGACTCCTTCAGAGCACCAACCCCTGACACCCCACCATCGGATGTGACAGCATCAGAATTCGGCACATCAGGGGCCATGTTCAGCGCCGCTCCCCCCATCACATGGTTCACAATAATCACAGCAGCAGCGCCTGCTCTCTGTGCTGCTACCACCTTTTGTTGGAACGAGCACCCCCCTCGCATCACCACCACCACCCGCCCTTTCACCTCATCAGGGTTTGACAAGCGCTCAACGCATGCTTCTAAAGGGGAAGCTTCTGCGAGGGTTCCCAGAATGGAGCTGGGAGGAGAGGGGGGATCAGTGGTGGAAGAAGGGACTTCGGTGCTGGTTGATGTTGTTGCTGCTGCTGCATTTCCTGCTGTGCCCCTCTTTGCAGTGGCATCTGTCCCTGCTGCTGCTTGTCCCTCGTTCAGACTGGGACTAGCAGCACCATCACTAGCACTAGCATCAGCACCAGCACCAGCACCAGCACCAGCATCAGCATCAGTATCCCCATACCCATCAAGATCACTGTCATCATCATCACCATCATCATTCGAACAAAAATCGTCACCATCACCATAACCATCATCACCATCACCATCACCATCACCACCACCATCTCCACCATAACTCCCACCATCACCATCACCCCCACCCCCATCACCATCACCACCCCCATCATCAACACCACCACCACCATAACTCCCACCATCACCCCCATCATCACCACCCCCATCATCATCATCATCCCCAAGGAGAGGGCCAAACTCAGCAGCCCCTGCAGGCAAATCAACACTCACAGTATTCATGATCTCCTGCCCCCTCCCTCTTCCCCCACTCACCTCCCCTCTTTCCCTCCTCCCCTCCCCTCTTTCCCTCCTCCCCTCCACTCTTCCGTCCTTCCCCTCCCCTCGCCCCCCCCTGCCCTCCTCTCCCCTCCCAAGCACCCCCTCCCCCGCATCCATCTCCCCACCCTCACCTTTCCCTCTCTCCTCTCTATTCTCTTCGTCCCTCTCCTCGTCCTTGCCCCCTCTCTCCTCCCCACCCTCTCGTACAGTCACATTCGTTTGATGCTTAGAGGGACTCTCATTCTCGAGTGGGGGGAAGTTAACCAGGCGCACCACACAGGGGGCCGCTGCTGGCACCTTGTGCTCTGGGGGGGGGATGGGGGATGGGGGAAAGCGAAGGGAAGGGAGGAAGAAGTGTAAGAGGAAGGGGAGAGTTAACCAGGCGCACCACACAGGGGGGGGCTGCTGGCACCTTGTGCTCTGGGGGGGGGGATAGGGAATTGGAAGGAAAGGGTAGGGGAATGGGGAGAGCGAAAGGAAGGAATAACGGAAAAGCGGTCAAGGGGAAAGGGAATGTTATGCGATGGAGTCTTGTGCTCTGAGAAAGGATTTGCAATGGGGAGAAACAGTAAGGGCTCGGGGAGAAGGTAGGGGGAAGAGGGGAAGAAGTGAAGGAAAGGAGAAGACGCAACACCACCCCTCCCATCCGCATTCCTCCCACAGCACTTATGGATATAGAGGTTGACTGTGAGGGTCTGAAAGCCAAAGGGGTTGGGGAAGGCGGCAGGGAGGGCGTTCCAGGCGAAGCAGGAGGGGCCGTATGATGCATCCACCATGAAATAGCCCAGTAGACGCTGGTTACCAATAACTCGTGACACCACCCCTCCCAACCGCACAGCACCCCTCCCAACCACATCCCGCCCATCTACAGCACTTACGGATATAAAGGTTCACTGTTAAGGTTTGGAAACCCTGAAGGTAGGGGAATGCTGCAGGGAGGGCGTTCCAGGCGAAGCAGGAGGGGCCGTATGAAACATCCACCATGAAATAGCACAGCAGACGCTGGTTACCAATGACTCGCGACACCACCCCTCCCAACCGCCTCCCACCCATGGCACCATCACCAGTACCACCCGCGCCAGCACCAGCAGCACCAGCTGCACCATCACAAGCAGCAGCGGCAGCAGCATTGGGAAAAGGATTGTTTAGGTCTCCTGCAGGACACTGCCCCAGCTCACCCACACCCTCTAGCCCTAATCCCTCCACTCCCTCTGCACATTCTGATCCCTCTGCTGCTGCTGCAGCGGCTGCTGCTGCTAGTTGCTGCTCCCTCTGCTGCTCCTGAAACCTGATGAAGGAAGCAAGTCGAGACACCTCCTCCTCTAGAGGACTTCTCCATCTCTCGTCCCTCCTCCCCTGCAACAGATGATGCATCCCTGTTCCTTGCGTGTTGAGCCTTCTCGAATCTCGTGCTCGTTGCATGTCCCTCTGCTTCTCCTCTGAGTTCTTCTCATCTGCCACTCGCCTCCGCATCTCCCTTTCTTTGTTTCTCTCTAGTCTCCGCTTTCTCTCGTCCTTCCCCATTCTCCGCTCTCTCCTCTCCCACCTCTCCCTCTTCTCCTTTTCCTCCATCTCCTTCATACCTTCCTCCCTTGTCTCCGCTTCCTTCTCCCTTGAACCCTCCACGCTCCCTTTCTCACTTATAGCTGGCACTTTCTCCCCCTCCACATTACCAGCCACTCCACTCACCATCACACCACTCTTCAGTCCTCCACCCTCCACCCCTACACTTTCCATCCCAGACTTCTCCTCTCCCTTTTCGCCTGCTCTCCCTCCTCCATCTCTCAAACTCACAACTCCATCCTCTCCCTCCTTCCCGTACCCCACCTCACCCCTCCTTTTCTCCCCATCCACCTTCTCCCCCTCCTTCTCCTCTCCTCCTTCCCCCTCCCCACTCTCCTCATCCTCGTCCTCCCATGCACCATACCACCCCTTTCCCCCGTGCTCCTCCCTTCCAAACGCCCCAACCACTGCCTCACAGGCCAACTGTCTTCTTAAAGCCAAGCCCGGATCAACTAGAGAGCCCAGGGGGGAAATGGAGTCTTTACACACGCGTGACTCAAACGAGGGTTTGCGTGATTCAGACAAGGGTCTGCGTGATTCAAACGCAGGTTGATGTTTCTCAGGCGAGAGGGGGTGTGACTGTGGTCCTTGTGATTCAGCTAAGGATTTCTGTGCCTTGTTCGGAGCCTGCGAGGAGGATTGCGACACGTCAGCATCCACATCAGCGTCCACATCAGCGTCCACATCAGCAACAGCAGGAGCCACTCGGCAGTCGCCAGCTGGCGACGTGTCCGGGTGGCCTTCGGACGGGCAGACGACACGGAATATTCTGGGAAGGTTCAGCGACAGCAGATGACCCTCAGTGGAGAAAACAAACCGAGCGGCGATGTCGACGTGAGGGGAGAAGAGGAGGTAGAGGTACCTGGTGGGTAGGGGACAACAACAGGCAGTGATCTTAAACCCGTTTTGAGTTGACATATGAACACCAGGTTCGGGTGAGAGCAGAAGGCCCTCGGTGGAGAAAACGAATCGGGCGGCGATGTCGATGTGAGGGGAGAAGAGGAGGTAGAGGTACCTGGTGGGGAGAAGCAGCAAAATCAGATAAAATCAATCAAATCAGATCAAGCTATTGCTAGTTGATATCATAAGAGTTCTTTTTGATGCAAGTGTTCTTAGAGTAGGAATGACTCCCTCCATGTGGCTGTCATGAATCTCGTACAACAATTTACGGTCACTTAAGAACCTCAAGAAGTGACAATCACTGCAATGCTTACTAAAGTGTGTCAGAGAGCAAAACTGACTCCATCTGGTTGTCGAGCCCTCTTCAAAACACTCGAGGTCGTGAGGCAATAGCAGCACTTACTTAAGTGTTTCCGAGAGCAGAAACGACTCCATATGGTCGTCAAGTCGATGCGTCTGCACGTCGCCAACGCTTGCAAACCCACACTCTGAAATACACATAGAATAAAAACGGGAGATGACTTTTGAGGCGCATCAGAAGCCGTTCCATAAGTCTACTGGAAAAGACGTTTGCACATTGTCTACACTTGCAAACCCACACTCTGTATGCACTTATATCAAGAAAAACACCTGTGCGTGTGACTGTATTGAGGGCTGCAGCAATATCCCTCCCGATCTCCAGGTATGTGTGATCGCCCGTGGCCTGGATGGGTGTGGGTTTGGGCCATTGGGGGTAGTAAGCAATGGGCCATAACAGCACATCTGTGTGACTGTGTTAAGCGCTGCAGCAATATCCCTCCCAATCTCCAGGTACGTGTGATTGCCTGTGGCCTGGATGGGTTTGAGTCAAGACGATCAGGCAATGGTTTAGAAATGGTAAGGCTTGCATCTAAGCTAGTATAATGCTATCGCAAGTAATGGGCTTGCATCCGACAATCAACATACCTGGAAGAGGAAGTATGTACTCTCTACCATCTCAGGCCGCAGTGGGTATCCCCTTTCCCTGTGCACACATAATGAAAGAAAGGCATGGGGGCATGGCATAAATGGGCGCAAATATTCAGCCACAGCATCTCCTTTTAGGTGCTGTTTATCTCCTGAACCGTTACACGCACATGATATGGTACACCTTCGTAGTAGTAAGCATGGCATGGCGCCACTCCTCAAAGGGATATCTTTGCGCACTGCACTGCACTGCTTGGCACAACGGTCGCATCACAGACAAGGGCCCCTATGCCATCGATTTTTTTCTCACCACTGAACCCTCGGGGAAGGTGAGGCAAGGCAAATGACAACGGGAAGGTTTCCTTTCTTCCCTGGGTGTGTAGTGCCTTGGTGTGTTGTCTCCTCTAAGGGGCGCGTCTCCTCTAAGAGGCGCCTTTCCTCTAAAAGGCGCCTCTTTGCTAAGAGGCAGGAGCCTCTCCTCCATGACATGGTCCACGCGCGCGCACTCCTGGTTCACGCACGCGCGCGCCAAGCCGTTCGGCCGGCGGTATTGCCGTTCGCCGGCGGCCTTGCCGTCATCAGTGGCTGGTGGCCGGCGGCCTTGCCGTTTGTCGGCGGCCGGCGGCCTTGCCGATGGTCTAAGGGCGTGGGTCTAAGGGCGTGGGTCTAAGGGCGTGGGTCTAAGGGCGTGGGTCTAAGGGCGTGGGTCTAAGGGCGTGGGTCTAAGGGCGTGGGTCTAAGGGCGTGGGTCTAAGGGCGTGGGTCTAAGGGCGTGGGTCTAAGGGCGTGGGTCTAAGGGCGTGGGTCTAAGGGCGTGGGTCTAAGGGCGTGGGTCTAAGGGCGTGGGTCTAAGGGCGTGGGTCTAAGGGCGTGGTCGGCGGCCTTGCCGTTGGTCGGCCGCCAACGGCCTTGCCGTCTAGATAGCACACTGCTTGGCATGTGCACCTTATTCATGCACTGTTGCACGTACAACTTTGTACGTACATTAATAAGCCCACTGTTACACATACACCTAAATGCGCTCTCTGTTACATGTAAGCATCCATACATACACTGGATGAACGGCTGAAGCAGTCACGCTGAAAAGCTCGGGCAGGAAAGAAAACCTTCTCCACACTGCCCAGAGGCCACTGTGGACCACTCGGGCATCCGCGGTCTGCCCGGCAAGAACCTGGCGGTGGGAAACGAAAGAGAAAGGGGGCGAAGACGCGACTGGCAGGTGAGAGGTGGTGAATGGGCTCTTTCTTGTACAAAGTGTGACTAGGGAGTCGACTTAAAAGAACTGCCCGGCAAGAACCTGGTGGCGGTGGCAGGCGAATGAGAAGGGGGTGAAATGAGAATGGCAGGCAAGAGGTGGTGAATGGGCACAGTCTCATACACAGTCTCATACACAGTCTCATACACAGTGACTAATAAATCGACTTGGAAAATGCTGGGCAGCAAGAACCTGGTGGCGGTGGCAGGCGAATGAGAAGGGGGGAAACGTGAGTGGCAGGTGAGAGGTAGAGGGCACTGTCTTGTCTTGTACAAAGTGACTATTGGGTCGACTAAAAGATTGCCGGGCAACAAGAATAGGCGTATGTTTTTTGAGAATTCTCAAAAAACATACGCTGCAACAAGAACATGGTGGCGGTGGGAGGCAAATGAGAAGGGGGGGAAAAGAATGGAGAGGAACAACGAGAGTGGCAGGTGAGAGGTGGAGAATTGTTTTGAGACGTCTCAAAAGTGTTTGAAGAAGTGTTTTGAGACGTCTCAAAACACTTCTTCAAACACGGAGAATTACTCTCGTTGGAGAGGCAAAGTCTTATTCACAGTGACTATTGAGTCGAATTGGAAACTGCTGGGCAGCAACGATCTGAAAGCGGTGGCATGTGAAAGCAGAAACACGCACAACGTGTTTACTTTTGAGTCGACTCAAAAGTCACCTCATTGCTGGGCAGCAATGATATGAAAGCGGTGGCATGTGAAGGCAGAAACATGCACAACGTGTTTAAAGAGTGCACTCACTGCATACCTGCATGGCGGGCCAAAACGCCTGGAGGGACGAGGCATTGTGCCGGCCCAGATGCCCATTGTCCATGCCCACGTCTAGCAGCCAGCGCACCATACCCCTACAAGCACTTGTTTTATTACTCACCTGCATGCATCATCTCGACATACCTGCATGGCAGGCCAGAACGCCTGGAGGGAAGAGGCATAGTGCCGGCCCAGGTGCCCGTTGTCTATGCCCACGTCTAGCAGCCAGCGCACCATGGACTCCCCCCGCACCGCCATGTACCGCATTGCACCTGAATACACCTGCAAGCAGCGGAGCAACACCGCATTGAAGACAATGGAATGTAACAGTTAAGGGGATGACATTTGAGGCGCCTCAGAAGGCAACAGAGTGACACCACATGTAACGATGGCGGGGATGCGGCATACGCTATGCTGCGAATGAGACAGCATAACGTTGCGATGCTCAAAGAACGGAAACAAGTTGAACAACGGAGGTGCTATACTGTGGCATACAGAAAGAGATTACAATGACATGCATAGGCACTCTGCTCTGACAGACCTTGGAGAACATTCGGCGAAAAGTGTTCTTGCCCAGTAACAGGTAGCCCTTGAGGAGGTACTGTGGGGAGGGAAGGAAGGGAAGGGAGAGAGGCACAATGGGGAGGAACGCATAGAGGTAGCCCTGAGAGAGCAAGGTAGTTCTTGCCCAGTAACAGGTGGCCCTTGAGGAGGTACTGTGGAGAAGGAAGGAAGGGAAGGAGGCACAATGAATGTAAGTAAAGGATCTAGAACTCAACCTAGGAAGGAATGTCACCAAGAAATGCAAGTAGCCTGACCTACACAGGTTTCACGTTTAAGAGATGCCCTTGCACTGATCGCTTTATTCAGGAAAAGCTTATTACCTCGAATCAAGGTCAAGTCTCACCTCAAAAAACGAGTCAACGCCAGCACCTGCTGTGGATTCCCGCTGCAGCCACACTCCTGATTGGAGATGAGCGGGAGAAGGGAGAGGGAGGTTCGGTGAATGGAGTGGAGAACGGAGAGTAAGTTGCCTGCAGCAACCACACTCATCAAACAAACCTCCCACCTGGGTTGCCCACTCACACCAACTCCTCCCACCTCCCACATCCTGCTGATGGCAACGATGGCAAGCCAAGCTGCTAATACCTCTACTTATTAACTGGACTGTGAAGCCCTCCTCCCTCCCACCTGTCGTGCTGCTGATTCCATTGCCCACGAGGTTCAGGGGCGACCTCCGTCTGTAGAGCGCCACCACTGGCCACCCACCATTCACTTGCTAGCCTGTTGATGCCAACGCTCCCGGGGGTGCCTGCCAAGCTGTTAAAACCTCTCATTCTTCACCGAATTGCCAGAAATACATCCTCCCTCCCACCTGTCGTGCTGCTGATTCCATTGCCCACGAGGTTCAGGGGCGACCTCCGCCTGTAGAGCAACCACTGCTCATCAGCCCACTAACCTGCTAACCAGCTGATGCTTGTTGAGTTGCTAATACCTGACGTGCTGCTGATTCCATTGCCCACGAGGTTCATAGGCGACCTCCGCCTGTACAGAGCCACCACTGCTGCCTCTGCCTTCTCCTGCGGGGATGAAACAGAGTGAAATGGAATGGACGTAAACGGGTAAAAGGCAAGTGAGTACCAGGCTGCTGATCTCGTTACCCACAAGGTTCAGCGGCGACCTGCGCTTGTAAAGCGCCACCACTGCTGCCCCTGCCTTCTCCTGCCGGGATGGGATGGAATGGAATGGAACGGAATGGAAGTAAACGAGGAAGAGGCAAATGAATTCCAGGCTGCTGACTCCATTGCCCAGAGGCGACCTCCACCCTGTAGAGGTAGAGGGCGACCACTGTTGCCTCCGCCTTCTCCTGATAAAGAAACGAGGAAGCCACAATTGGGTAGGCATTTTATTGACTCTCGACTCAAAAGACAGCTCTGGCCTGGACGATGGAGATCCCTGAGAGAGGTATGAGAGTGCATGAACTCCAGCAGCAGAGTGCCGGCGCCAGCAGTGCACATGTGTCCGAAACAATGTCCTCTGTGCATTGATGTGAGAGATGCCTCTGCCTCACCTGGAACACACAGGGGTGCCTGCAAGGTTTCTTACCTGGAAAAGGGGAATTCCGGAAAGGTTTGAGAGCGCACTGAACTCCAGCAGCAGAGTGCCGGCGCCAGCAGTGCATGTATGAGTGACGTCGTCTGGCAGAACTCCCCTCCGCAGGTTCACCCACGCGTAGGGGATGGGTGTGCCTGATGAGAAGGCAGGGAGCAGCCTGGTGCATGCATACATAGTGGGATGTGGGTGGGGATGGAAGGGGAGGGGGGGAGAGCACGTGTGTGTTGCGTCGTCTGGCAACACTACCCCCCGCAGGATCACCCATGCATAGGGGATGGGCGTTATTGAAGAGAAGGCGGGGAGCAGTCTGGGAAAAGAGAGAGGAGAGAGAGTGAGAGAGATTTACTCACATCCTGGAACCCACCTGAATCCCACCTGAAGCGCCCAAAATTCCACCTGAGACTCACCTGAAGCCCAGATCAATAGCCAGCTCCAGCAGACGGCCTTTGTACCCAGGTGCCAGGTGCACGCCGGCCAATGAGGGATGGACAGGTGGCAGCGTGGGGTCCCGGCTTTGCAGGATAAGTATGTGGGCGGATAAGAGACTCCCTAGCGCCCTTATGTTGGCCTCAAACACGTTTCTGTGAGGGCGAGAGAGTAATGGACAGAAAATCAAGTCTTAAGAGGAAAAACAAAAAAGGGCAACGAAGACAAATCAGAGCAAGAGTAGAGGATGGGATGGGGTAAGAAAGTCAGAGGAGGACACAAAGGAGGGGATACGGAGGGGCGAGTATGAAACACACGACGCATGGAAGAGGGATGGGCGAGTGTGGAACACACACGCGTATGTCTAGGTCGAAGGAGAGATGCTGTGAAAGGTACTCCACGCCCCAGTTGAACTCTGATACATTGCCCAGCAGCTGCATGGTGGGGTAAAGTGGGGGAGGGAGGCAGACGGAGACAGATGAGGGCAGACGGAGGCAGACGGGTGCAGACAGGGGCAGGGGAGAAGAGTCAAGGCGCTAAGTCGCCTATCAGCAGGAGAGATGCTGTGAAAGGTACTCCACGCCCCAGTTGAACTCTGATACATTGCCCAAGAGCTGCAAGGTAGGAGAAGGGTTGATAGGAAGGATGGAGACGGAAGGTGGGAATGATGCAAGGTGTTACGTTGCCTATTAGGAGGAGAGGTGCTGAGAAAGGTACTTCGCGGCCCAGTAAAGGAGCTGAGAAGATGAGCAAGTAAAGTAACAAATGCAGACACATTCGAACAGACCCATAATCGCCTCACCAGCAGCGTGCCCAGGCTCTCCATGAGCGTCATTGTCATGCCACCATAAGGATTGGACCCAGAGCAATCAAGCAAGCGAGCAGTTCCAGTAGCGAACAGGTGAACAACCAGCCGCAGAGAAACGCATATACACACAGACACACAGTCTCCTCACCAGCAGCGTGCCTAGGCTCTCCATGCGCGCCATAGCCATGCCACCATAGGGATGGAACCCAGAGCTGAGCTAGCCAACAGGAGAAATACCAGCTGGTAACACCCATATGAACCTTTTGAGACGTCTCAAAAATCACCCATATACACACAGACACACAGCTTCCTCACCAGCAGCGTGCCTAGGCTCTCCATGAGCGTCATTGCCATGCCACCATAGGGGTTGGACCCAGAACAGCTGGCAATCAGGAAACAAGGGAAATATGGGGAAGCGATGGGGGTGAGGGGTGAGTGAGGGAGAGAGGTAATCGAGGAAGAAAAGAGCCAGAGCTTGTAAGAAAGCACCCTACACCACACGACCAGACATGCAGCAGGAGAGGAGACAAGCAGGAGAGACTGACTGAAGGAACAAGGCGAAGTGGGCACAGGAGAGTGGCGGTGAGAGCGAGAGACAGAGAGACACGGCAGATGCAGGGGTACGCACCTGAGAGGTCTCAGCTCGTCTTGAGGAAAGGCGAATCGCTTGTAGCCGTCGTATGCATGATAGAACATCTCCTCCACTTGACGCCTGCAGGGAGATACAAGGAACAAGGTTTTCAGTCAGGAGCCATGGTGCATGTATGCATGTTCAATTCTGAAGGTACCTGGAACTAGGAGATCAAAGGAGCGTAGCCAGGCAAGGCAATGCTTAGGGAAATGAAGGCACAGGCTCATGGAAGCAGTGAATTCGTGACTCGTGAGAGTAACAGTCGGCTCAGAGGCACACACCCGCATGGCGCGACAACGTCACTAACTGACTGACTGACTGACTGACTGACTGACTGACTATCTGATTGACTGACTGACTGACCGACCGACCGACCGACCGATTGACCGACTGACTCACTCACTCACTCACTCACTCACTCACTCACTCACTCACTCACTCACTAACTCAATGACTCACTGACTCACTGACTCACTGACTCACTGACTCACTGACTCACTGACTCACTGACCTCATGGCAGTCACATTCACTTCAGGCACACCACCAGCTTGTGATTCAAACGAGATGGACTCTCCCTCCCTCATCGCATCCTCCGATTGTGTCACACTCGGCTCCAATTCGAGCATGCCAGCCTCTGATGCCGGCTCGTCCGCTCCGCTCTGCGTTCCACCCGTTTGAGAATCTCTGGTCGCAGCTAGAGGAATAAGAGAATCGTCGGCAGCAGCAGCAGCTCCAGCGGCAGCAGCCGTGTCAGTGGCAGCAACATCGCATGTGGCGGCAGCAGAATCAGAAGCAGCAGCTACGTCCTCCGCAGAAACACCACTCTTGCTCTCGAGTCGAGATTTTAGATTGTGTTCCTCGCGTGCATGATTGCTCGCGGAAGCACCGAGCGTTCCCTGATCTTGCCATGTGGACGCTGCTGATTGGTGGTCCAGCAGCAGGACTACAACCAGCAGCAACAGAGGAGGGAATCTTCGTGGAAATGTCATTGAGATGAGCACGGGTGACTGGAAAGAGCGTGCTTGAGATCCGACGAAGATCAACAGTCCAATCGGATCTTCTACCAAGAATTGGACATGTCCGACTGCCGAACCCACAGGATGACGTGGCTGGATGACGCGCCAATGCGTCGCCTCTAATGTAGCGGCGCGATGTCAGCTCTTAATCGCAAGCCCTAGCGAGAACCAGGTAAGAAATCAAACAACTGAAGCCTACCAGAATCGAAGGAGTCGCTGATTCTGTCACCATTCTGTGCCTGAACAGAAATCATCTAACGCTGGGAAGGTCAACGGCTTACAGTATCACCTAGCTTTGTGAAGAGAGCACCATTTTAGTCGATGCGACGGGACAATAACACTAACGGCTCGCTAACCGGATCGCCTTACTGATCAATGATTAATTCCCATGTTAGGCATTCCCATGCCAAGGTGAGAGGAACCCAAGAATAAACTGGGACACCATCAAGGCTGTTCCGAAAAAGATTGGTTGACACAAGCCATGACTGATCACGAGTGAAAGATTGTGCCAGATCGCAATTTTCCTGCGAAGACTGCGAAATGGAGCAGCCAGGATGTAACAAGCATCTCATGGTCACGGTGAGCGAGCGAATGGTCAAGAATGCGATGAATGGAATATATCGCTGTACTGCAAATTAGGAGATTCGATACATGCATAGAAAACGTGCTGATTGAAACTTATCGAGCTTTTTATGCAACTTATACATATGCTCATTCAAGTCCTCAAAATACTGATTTGGCTAGGGACGGTTATCTACAGTCATAGAATGAGTGGTAAAGGACATGCAAAATCTGCCTAAAGAATAATCAGCCAATCCATCATTCCTGTAAATTATGTACACCGCACAGCGTCAGGTGATGGCTGCTCCCCCCAGCACGGGACAAGCCCCGAGGCACCCTCGTTCAAGAACGAAAACCGCTGGCAGAAACAGGAACAACGGAGGCCGAGCACCCCTAGTCTATTATTAACGATCCTAAAACACCTAAATGGCATCGTGATGCCAACGGATCCAAGGCTGCGGCTGAACGCGAGCAGATCAGAGCAAGCAGATTACGTGGCGGAGACAACGGAGGAGTCACTCTATAGGCGGAACGAGGATCGGATACGGCGAATCAATCAAAGGGAGCGAATGAGGCGAGCGGCTTCGTAGCAGTGAGCGGTGGCGAGGGTGAGAGTAGCAGCACGCGGGGGTCGCTCGTGGGCCGATCGCATGCCGTCGATGTCCTTCTCGAGTTCGGCTAAGCACCGCTCGACCTGCATCTCCTTCTCGCACCACTTTTGTCCTCCTTGCACACCCTGAAAATAAACCAAGAAACACAAACCGACACGAAAATCTGTCAGAAGAAAGTCCTTGTGGTAAACACAATAAAAGCTCATTCGTCCAATAGAGTATGAGATTTCGAAGCACAGCCTTGACGATTTTCGTCTTCACGTAAAATGGCGAAAAGGGATCAAATTACAGAAAGTATCAGCCTTTTCTAGAAACTACTCACGTGAACGGGGTGACCGAGTAGCGCGTTGAGTCCAAGATGAACCCGCTCGACCACCGTCGCACCCGCTGCTGCGAGAGAGTCGCCCGACACCAAAGCGTCGCCGGCTTGCTCGTTGCGACCGTTCGCCTGAACGTGCTGCAGCATGCGACCGTACGACTGCAGAAACTGAGACATCGCCTGGTTTGACGGGAAGACCGGGGTCGGCGGGAGAGACTCGGTCGGGTAACCGGAGTAATAATCGGAGGAAGTCGGCGCCGGCATCGCTATTGCCATGGCATTAGTGGCGACGGATCGGGAGGACGGAGAGGCGTCGGCCCTAGAAGTAAGGCGGAAGGAGGTATGCTGTGCAGGTGTCGTGTTGCATTTGTCAGTGAGACGGGATTTAGAGAGAGCTGCGCTCGAGGGAACGCAGGTGCGAGCGAGAGTCATTGACGCAGCGGCCATGTCGCAAGCTAGATGTAGACCTATTGGTGGCTTCCGGAGGTAATAGTGAAAGTGAAAAGTGACTAAAAAGGCTTGAACTTTTGACTTCGTGAGGAACTCGAGGTTTGAGCTTTTGACAATGAGAGCTGTTGGAGCTGAGCTATTTGTATTTCTGTGCAAGAAGCTCAGCTGTTGCCTTGCCACCGTAGCGTGTCGCCAAATTTCGGGAGTTTCGGATCCGAAGGGAAGGTGACAGAAGAGCACACGGAACCACGAGGGGAGCAGAGCAAGGTGAGTATAGTAGGGTTTTGTGCGTTATTGTGCGGTTTGTGCTTTGTAGTAAGAAAGCTGAAGGTGGTGTTCTTGCTCCGGCGTTGTCACGCCATCCGCGAAAATCGTTGCGAAGCTCCAGAACGAGGACCACCACCACAGATGGTTCACGAAACAAAATCCACTGCCACGCCACTGTCGCTGGTGACGTGTCACTCACTTGCGGCGACGCGGCATTCCCGCAGTGACGTGTTGTGGGGAAGCTACCTGCGAGGGTGCCGACCTGATTGGTGCGGCGCGTGATCGTTCTCTGGTTGTTGAGTGGAGGGAGGTTGCGTGCTATCGGCGAGTTGATCGAGCCAGACGAGTAGCCAACAGGTTTCCGAAGAAAGAGCCGTGATGAGGTGGATGGGCCTCTGACCACCACAAAAAGGATGCATTCCAGCGGTGAAGTGTTAGCGAATTGGCGCGGAAGCGGCCACCGCTTATCCCGTAAAACTTGAGATAATTCAAGGCATGTGGTTGAGCTTTGCTGCGCTGGCAGAAGTGAAGCGTTGTTGTTGGAATGTCACGGCACAGCCTGGCCAAGCAGGTGACTCTTTTGCTGAGCAAGCACAGCGGTGCGGTGGGGTGGTCGAACCCAAGTGGCGGTAGGTTGGCTGGAAGGAAAACCGATTTCATCGATTGGCTGTTCAAAAGTGCATCGATTGGCTGTTCGATTGGATGGACTGTAGCAATCTCCCTCCCACTTTGCAGTTCGCGTCAACACAACCCAAGCCTGACCTACGACTCGAACCTTCATCAAAGTCACGTTTGAACCTCCATACTGGATGTTATTTTAATCATTCTGTCTCATACGACAACTGTACATGGTCGCTGCGCCCTATTATGATGCATAAGAATCGAATTGACATTTTACAAATGTTGGCTACATTTGGATTGGACTCACTAAGTGTAACCCTTGAAACATACCATACTGTAAAAACAGGCACTATTGCCTTACCTGCTGCCTCAGCTATGTAGCACCAAGTAACTTTGACTAAAAATATAGCACAGATTTCCATCTATCACCTGCATCATTCCATATGGCTCCTAACATTCCTAAGATGCAGCCTAAATCCTAATAGGGCATGAAGCACAATGTTGGTCATGCACTATGAGCAACGTCCAGGAAACAATGCTGCATCTGTGACATGCAGGCACTGCATCCATGACGTGCATACAGAGCCTGTTCAGATGCCAAGTGAATTTGCTTGATGCACTCTAGCTTCCACAGCTGCTGCCACCGGCACTTGTGCCCGTAGAAAAAAAGAGGGAATGGGGAGTGTGAGGTGGGTGAAGGGAGCAAGGAGCAGCAGGGGGTTGAGGTGAGACGGGGTGAGGAAGGGGGTGAGGAAGGGGGGGACGAAGGGGGGGAAGAAGGGGGGGGTGGTAAGAGGTAGGGGGTTGGGGGAGGGGAATGGCAGGAAAGAGGGAATAGAAGGCGGAGCAAGACACAATCCCAGCGTGATTGGAAGATGCTGCTGAGAGGAGGGAAGGAGGGGGGAGGCGGGGGAAACTTTGAAGGATGCTGCTGAAAGGAGGAAGGGAGGGGGAAGGCGGTGGAAATTTTAAAGGACGCTGCTGAAAGGGGTGAGGGAGGGAGGGACAGCGGGGAAACCACGAAAGATGCTACTAAAGCTCTCCGGGGTGGAAGGAGCGAGAGGGAAAGAGGGAGAAATCCTGAAGCTCTCTGTAAAGATGCTGCTGAAGCACACTGCAATCGTATAGGGGACAGTGTCCGCGAAAGGAAGGGAGGGAGGGAGGGAGGGAGGGAGGGAGGGAGGGAGGAGGGAGGGAGGGAGGGAGGGACGGAGGAGGGGGGAGGGGAGACCATGAAAGATGCTGCTAAAAGCTCCCCCAAATTTTGAGCAGCGAGAGGAGAGAGAAGGAAAGGAGGAGAGTGGGAGAAACGGAGCATGATAACCTTCGCCCTCAGCCGACGTATTTCACAAGTCACAAGATGCACTTCACGATATCAGCGCGAGTTACCAGCGAACCTGAAACCAGCGCGAGTTACCAGCATGAGTAATCAGCGCAAGTCACCAGCGCGAGAAACCAGCGCGAGTTACCAGCGCGAAATACCAGCGCGAATTACCAGCGCAAGTTACCAGCTCGAGTAACCGACGCGAGTCACCAGCGCTCGCTTATGATTATTCCCCGCTTTTAGCTCAGCGCAACCAGTCCCCGCGTTCCGCGCCCCGCTCTCAGCTCAGCGCATTCAGCTCCCGCATTCCGCTCCCCGCATTCATATCAGCGCATTTCCCGTTCCCGCTTTCAGTTCCCCCCTTTCACAGCAGCGCATTCCTCTTCACATCAGGGATTGCCGAAAAATCGAAGGGAAGTTCTTGGTACGAAATCAAATCTTCTTTCGACGAAAAGATTATGTTCGGAAACCAGATCTGCGCCTCCAGAAAAAACCACTTTCAATCTATGAACTGCACTCGCGACCATACTACCGCTGCTAGCCATGGCACGTCGATCTGAATAAGTGACGTTTGTGAATGGGGAACTAAGAATCAGAAGGTACGAGGCGTAATACTCGTCACTGCGGTTCTAAGGTACGAGAGACAGTACGAAGAAAGCCAACTGTAAAATGTGAACGCCAAATTTTAGATCTAAAATCTGAAGCGGGAGAGCGTGCAGGTTGGGTACAGCAACGTGCCAATACTTCCCTTGCATCACCTGCCCTTATCCAGTGCGACATTTGGCGACATGAGGCGACTACTTTCAATCTGTTTCGCATCCCTTCGCTCCAAGCAAATCATTCTGATTGGCTCAAGCGATTTTCCACTCAGCTGACGAAACTCTGTTGCGACAAAACGGCTTTTACCTAAACTCATCCAACTCTTATACCAACGCCGTCCCGCGCATCACGCAATTTATTTTGTTCCTACTAAACATAGTGCCACGTCAACAATCTCCTAGAAACATTCGCAACCTTCCCATGTTTCGAACTTTCGCGAACCACAATAGGACTTCTCCCTGGTGCACCGCAACAGCAATGTTATTCAACAAAATAACTGTTGCACAAACGATTTGAACTGTATAAATTTGACACCAGAAGCTACAATGGGGGATGTCAGCCTGCCAAACTTCCCCGCACTGAACCAGCGGTCTGACCCAGTCAACCCAATGTTCCCTCTGACTAACTGCCGTCACTCTTGGCGCAAACTTTTGCCAATTTCTGGCCGCCATACATTGGCTGGAGAAATCTAAACCATCCACTGGTTGCGGCGAAACCTACACCCTTGATTTTCAATCCCCACCACTTCCAGATTCCAACCAAGGGATTCCCGAAGGCGGCACCCCAGCTTCCCTCGGCTCAGCTCAGCACCACCAAGGAACTGAACTCACATTCACGACTTACTCCCATCCCATCAGTTCATTCTGCAGCTTCTGAATGGTAAGTTCCTTCACACCCACTAACAATGTTCCCAGCAATGCTCAGAAGGTAAGCATTTGCTTTGACTAACTTCATGCTTCTTTCTGCTTCCACCAAGACAACCCGAGTCAGCCAACGGCATCGAGCTTGGCATCGTCGTAAGTGTCGCCGAGTCGCAGCGTCGCAAGCGTCGCAGAGTCGCGTTGTGGGTGGGGTGGTTGGGTAAGGGTGACTGTTGACAACTTCGACGACCTTCGACGACCTTCGACGACGTGCTACGACCTTCGACGACCAGAGGAGCTGCACAAAATGACGGTAACGTTGCAAGGTAATATTTTTTTTGCATTCGCTTCATTTTATTTCTTGCGCATTTGTTACTTGTCATTTCTTGTGCGTTTAACCCTGTTCGTTTAACCCTGGTCTACAACCGTCGAAGAGACTCGTAAGGCTCGTACAGTGGAGCGCGAACGGCTCGTTGGCAAGACTTGAAGCGCCGACGCGAAGGCAAGCTATCCGCGGCAGAGTCAAGATCCCACCGCGAGGTCTTCACGCCAATACGGCGAGATCGCCATTACGGGGAACGCAAGTTTTGCCATCACGATGACCACGTCGGCCTTCCCGTCGCTCTCGGCGGTATTCACCACCAGCACGGAGACGGCAAGTGAAGGTAAGCGCAGTTTATTTCTACTTCTTCCCGTAGCCGTTTTGTTCAGTTAATTTCTTAAGCCGTTCAACAATCTTCAAGTACTAATTTCTGTTTTCTTCCCGCAGACCTCATAGCGACCAACTTGGCGAGACTTGAAGCAACGACGCTACAACTTGAAGCGCCGTCGCTAAAGCAAGCTATTCTCAAGAAACTCGAGATCGCACCGCAAGACCTTCACGCCTATACAGCGAGATAGCCAACACGGGGAAGGCAAGTCTCGCCATCACAAAGACCACGTCGGTCTTCCCCGTCGCGGAGACGGACGACTGGAGGTAAGTGCGTATTTATTTCATCTACTTCCTGTATTCTTTTGTTTTTAATCGTTCATCATTGTTCAAGTACTAACATGTTTATTTCTTCCTTCAGACCTGTTGGCGACCTCTTGTGGAGAGTTGAAGCGCCGACGCTAAGCACGAAATGCCAACGTCAAGACTTAATGTGCGGACACTAACAGTTGAGCCGGCTACAACACTTCACCTCGTAAAGTCAGATTCTACCTGCTACGTCATCAAATTTTACAGCTAACATCTCTTTTTATGTGTAATCTATTCCATAAGCTTGTAATGCCCCAGCACTCCATCTCTTCGAACCTTTGACCACCAAAATGAGACTTACCACCATGAGGTTGCTGTGTAACTAAGCTATATCGGCCGATAGCTTAGTTTCACAGCATCCTCTTGGTGGTTAGTCCCATTGTGATGGTCAAAGACCAAGAGGGATGGAGTGCTTGACATTTCAAGCTTTTGGAACTGCTTTCACACTACAAGAGATGTTATCTATTAAATCTTATGACGTAGTATATAGAATAAGATTTTACGAGGCTACTGCCTACCTAGACAGTGATGGTCGATCGGAGGTAAGTGCAACATGATTCAACTTCTTCTGCAAGCGTTTTTGGCATTGTTCAAGATCTAACCTGTTGCTTTCTTCCCGCAGACCTCTTGACGACCGACTTGGCACTAAGGCAAGCTCTTTACGACAGTTTCAGTTTCTCGCCACCAATAGAAGGTCGAGCCGTCTCCCCCCGTCACCAACACGGAGACGGTCGAGGTAAAATTTTCAGTCTATTACCGAATCTGTTTTGTCGTTTATTACGGTGTTTTATTACCGAGAAATAAACTCGTTGCACTTTTTTCTGCAGACGATCTTCCTGCAGGTCATCCTTGCGACCATATTGGTGATGCGACGACTTGAAATCGCCGACGCGAAAGACTATCAAGGACGAAGACTTTACCTGAAGCAGGAGAAGGTTTCAATCGCCTTGGAACCTTCGCAAGAGGCGCCGACGAGACTTAAAGTCCGCCAGGATGGTCAGGTGAATGGTCGTCGCCATAAAGTCTACTCTTTTTCTGCTCTTTTTCCGTTGTTATCTTTATCCTTTCTCGTAATAACGCGCTGCCGTTTTTCCCTGCAGACCGTGTGGCGACTGAAAGCAGCACTTTTGCCAAACAACCGCCTTGATGCCGAGACGTCAACTGCCGACTTGAAGCCATGTCGTGGCCAAGATCGTCGCCAATATCGTCGCCAAGATCGTCGCCAAGATCGTCGCCAAGATAGTCGCCAAGATTGATCGCCAAGATTGATCGCCATTGGTCATCATAATGATCGTCATTCGGGTTGGTGAGTGAAGTCTACCTTCTCTTCATTTATACCGAGTCTTCTTTATCCTCTCGTCTATAGTACTAACGTGCTGCTTTCTCCGTGCAGACCTCGACGACTGTTTTGGTGCCGACCAAAGGTGGCGATGCTTTCTACCGAACGACCGTCTTGGTACGTCAATCGTGGAAAAGGCGAGGAGGACTCGGCGTGTCTCACGTCACGAAGGGACGCAAGGGGACGGAGACGGCCTACCCGCAGCGCCTCGCTCGACTGAGGTACGTTCCGTTAAATCGATTCACTACCCGCAGCGCCTCGCTCGACCTTATATCCAGTCCCTTGATCTGATTTGATTTTTCCACGTTCTAACATATTGATTTACTTTCTCTTGCAGATTCAACGGCGCACGACATACGACGACGTATGGCGACGAATGGCGCTTCTCCCTGCCGGCGGCGGTTGGTTTTTCCGTCAAGCTACGAGGACTTTACCGTGATGGTTGATGTCACAAGCGGACGACGACGGTTGGCGTCACTTCGTCCATCCCGCAGAACTCTCCGCGATTCACTACTAGTGGCGCCTCGCTCGAACTGAGGTAACGTGCTGTTTCTTGCAGTTTAACGCGTTGATCCTCTGGCGGCTCCTATTCGTTTTATTTCGTTCTTATCCTCCTCCTTAACGGTTTCGTTCTTATTCTTTCTTCTTGCAGAGGCTGACCGTCCGCCGGCGTACGGATGGCGACGCATGGGGACGCGTGGCACGAGGCACGAGGTTAGGGGAAGAACGCATGAGGTGCGGCTCATTGTCGAACGGCGTGTCTCGAGGGCCGCGGAGGCGCGTTTCGCGGGCAAAAGGCGCGTCTCTCGTGCCAAGGCGCGTTTCGCGGGCGAAGGCGGGACTCACGGCGTTTGGCGGCAATTCTCTGGTGGTGTTTTTTTCTTTCGTCTCGTCGTCGCTTTTCCTTTCGTGAATTTCGCATTTTGTTTGATTTCGCATTTCGTTTCGTTTTGTTTCGTTTCGCATTTCGTTTCGTCATCTCCTCTCTGCCGTGATGGAATGACGGCGTGGCATCGCCATGTGCACAGTGCTTCAACGACGGAGGCTACCCTCACCCTCCGCCGCCACCCTGCCCCATCCCCGGTCCCAGTGCCCCACCAGACAACGGCTACACCGACCGTCCACAGCAGGGACTACCAAGGTAAAAGCCCGAGCGGCTTTCACGGTAAGAACCGTCACATTCCGCTTTTCTAACTCTCCTAGCTCTCCCTCTCCTCTTCGTTTTACTGGTTTAACGCTTGTTTTTTGTTTTTGTTTTTGTTTTTTTTTTTTGTTTCTTTTTATTCTATACTAACTATCGCCGCTTCCTCCAAGGTGCAGGCTCGGCATGAACGCGGAGCGGACGCGGGTGTCGCGGAGGAGCGGACGCCATCACTTTCACTTTTTTTTTTCTCTCTTATCTTCCTCCAGTGTCTCGTGTCAGGTTGAGAGACAACAAGCACACGGGGATCTGCACCAACTCGACCTCGAGCATTAGAACAGACACGTTACAGACAGACTCGTGTAGAACGGACGGACGACACGGAACAGACCCGATAGGAGCGAAAGCCCGGCACGGTATGCCGCGGTTGGGTGGGTTACGTTGGGATGGGTGGGCGGTTTCGATGGGGTGGGTGGGTGGTTTCGATGGGTGAGCTCCGGGATAAGGCTTGTCTGAGCTGCAGGTCTTCTGACATCTGGCAACCATCGAGCTGAGGTGGTTTTCTGCCCGTGGCAGTAGATTTCATAAATTTCCCCCCCAAATTATTTTCATTCTTTCGTTTCCTCTCCTCTTTCCCTACACCCTCCCCTCCCCTCCCTCCAACAGGTGTCCTGAGCGAATAACCCCTACCTCAACGCGGTGGGTGTAACGCTAGAGGCATTTGCCTCTAGCGGCCAAGAGGGGTGAAGACTCGAAGTGAAGGTTCAAGACAAGTGGAGCAGCAGCAGAAGATACGGCCTTCGGCTTTCGTACCAAATGAAGTTGCAAGCAGCAACACGACTTGGAGCAGCAGCTAGCAGATCGGCCTTCCTTCGTACTGTACCAGAAGTTGCAGCTGGTTGAAGTAGTTGCTAGTTGAGTAGAGATTCGCTTCTCTGTATCTCTGAAGTGCTTTATAAACAAGTTTTCCAACTGACGAGGCAAATAGATCTTGACTCAATACGGACTGTCCACAGCGCATACTAGATCTGGATCTGAGGATCGAGCACCAATGGAACATTCTTGACGAGCTAGAACTGGTATCTTGCCAGAGCTGTGTTCTGCGATTAGTCGTTGCGATCCGTCAACTAAGGTATTGTCGCAAGCATCAAGTGGCTGGTGAGTTTAGGAAGCATACTTTCGCCAAGCGGTACGTGGAGATAAATTTCGTTCTTAAATACGTGGAGAAGCAACGGCTGGGAGCGCATGGTGCGTCGTTAACTCTTCTCTCCTTTGACGTCAGGGCTTATCTGAAATCTTTTTGAAGCTTGTCATTTCAAATAGTGAATCTGCATTTTCTTTCAAGATCTAGCGTGCGTTCGGCATGGCCCATGCTTAATGTCTTCTTTAAAGGTTCGCCATGTGAGGAGGAGAAGACTCAACGCGCTGACATCTCGCCCTCGCCCTCTTCAACCCCAGCTACTCCACCTGTCTCACCACAGGGTTACGCACGCACATTCCTGTTGGTGCCCGCCGTATCCTCCCACGTCCTCCTCTCATCCAAATTTCAACTCCATGTCTCTAACTCCCAATCCCTCACGTTCTCCCCCCCAAATTCCTCCCTTCCCCCTCGTTCCCTCCCGTCCCTCCCCGCCCTCCCCTCCCTCCCCCGCTCCTCACCCCGCTTCCCCCCTTGCGCGCAGCTGATCTCAAAGCCGTCGGAGTGGCGCAAGGCGGAGTGGCGCAAGGCGGAGTGGAGCTCGTCGTTTGTGGCGGTGCGGTCGGCATCACATCGCGGCAGCTGCTGGCGGGGCTGCTCACGAGGTGCTGCTCACGAGGTGCTGCTCACGAGGTGCTGCTCACGAGGTGCTGCTCACGAGGTGCTGCTCACGAGGTGCTGCTCACGAGGTGCTGCTCACGAGGTGCTGCTCACGAGGTGCTGCTCACGAGGTGCTGCTCACGAGGTGCTGCTCACGAGGTGCTGCTCACGAGGTGCTGCTCACGAGGTGCTGCTCACGAGGTGCTGCTCACGAGGTGCTGCTCACGAGGTGCTGCTCACGAGGTGCTGCTCACGAGGTGCTGCTCACGAGGTGCTGCTCACGAGGTGCTGCTCACGAGGTGCTGCTCACGAGGTGCTGCTCACGAGGTGCTGCTCACGAGGTGCTGCTCACGAGGTGCTGCTCACGAGGTGCTGCTCACGAGGTGCTGCTCACGAGGTGCTGCTCACGAGGTGCTGCTCACGAGGTGCTGCTCACGAGGTGCTGCTCACGAGGTGCTGCTCACGAGGTGCTGCTCACGAGGTGCTGCTCACGAGGTGCTGCTCACGAGGTGCTGCTCACGAGGTGCTGCTCACGAGGTGCTGCTCACGAGGTGCTGCTCACGAGGTGCTGCTCACGAGGTGCTGCTCACGAGGTGCTGCTCACGAGGTGCTGCTCACGAGGTGCTGCTCACGAGGTGCTGCTCACGAGGTGCTGCTCACGAGGTGCTGCTCACGAGGTGCTGCTCACGAGGTGCTGCTCACGAGGTGCTGCTCACGAGGTGCTGCTCACGAGGTGCTGCTCACGAGGTGCTGCTCACGAGGTGCTGCTCACGAGGTGCTGCTCACGAGGTGCTGCTCACGAGGTGCTGCTCACGAGGTGCTGCTCACGAGGTGCTGCTCACGAGGTGCTGCTCACGAGGTGCTGCTCACGAGGTGCTGCTCACGAGGTGCTGCTCACGAGGTGCTGCTCACGAGGTGCTGCTCACGAGGTGCTGCTCACGAGGTGCTGCTCACGAGGTGCTGCTCACGAGGTGCTGCTCACGAGGTGCTGCTCACGAGGTGCTGCTCACGAGGTGCTGCTCACGAGGTGCTGCTCACGAGGTGCTGCTCACGAGGTGCTGCTCACGAGGTGCTGCTCACGAGGTGCTGCTCACGAGGTGCTGCTCACGAGGTGCTGCTCACGAGGTGCTGCTCACGAGGTGCTGCTCACGAGGTGCTGCTCACGAGGTGCTGCTCACGAGGTGCTGCTCACGAGGTGCTGCTCACGAGGTGCTGCTCACGAGGTGCTGCTCACGAGGTGCTGCTCACGAGGTGCTGCTCACGAGGTGCTGCTCACGAGGTGCTGCTCACGAGGTGCTGCTCACGAGGTGCTGCTCACGAGGTGCTGCTCACGAGGTGCTGCTCACGAGGTGCTGCTCACGAGGTGCTGCTCACGAGGTGCTGCTCACGAGGTGCTGCTCACGAGGTGCTGCTCACGAGGTGCTGCTCACGAGGTGCTGCTCACGAGGTGCTGCTCACGAGGTGCTGCTCACGAGGTGCTGCTCACGAGGTGCTGCTCACGAGGTGCTGCTCACGAGGTGCTGCTCGCGAGGTGCTGCTCCCGAAGTGCTGCTCACGAGGTGCTGCTCACGAGGTGCTGCTCACGAGGTGCTGCTCACGAGGTGCTGCTCACGAGGTGCTGCTCACGAGGTGCTGCTCACGAGGTGCTGCTCACGAGGTGCTGCTCACGAGGTGCTGCTCACGAGGTGCTGCTCACGAGGTGCTGCTCACGAGGTGCTGCTCACGAGGTGCTGCTCACGAGGTGCTGCTCACGAGGTGCTGCTCACGAGGTGCTGCTCACGAGGTGCTGCTCACGAGGTGCTGCTCACGAGGTGCTGCTCACGAGGTGCTGCTCACGAGGTGCTGCTCACGAGGTGCTGCTCACGAGGTGCTGCTCACGAGGTGCTGCTCACGAGGTGCTGCTCACGAGGTGCTGCTCACGAGGTGCTGCTCACGAGGTGCTGCTCACGAGGTGCTGCTCACGAGGTGCTGCTCACGAGGTGCTGCTCACGAGGTGCTGCTCACGAGGTGCTGCTCACGAGGTGCTGCTCACGAGGTGCTGCTCACGAGGTGCTGCTCACGAGGTGCTGCTCACGAGGTGCTGCTCACGAGGTGCTGCTCACGAGGTGCTGCTCACGAGGTGCTGCTCACGAGGTGCTGCTCACGAGGTGCTGCTCACGAGGTGCTGCTCACGAGGTGCTGCTCACGAGGTGCTGCTCACGAGGTGCTGCTCACGAGGTGCTGCTCACGAGGTGCTGCTCACGAGGTGCTGCTCACGAGGTGCTGCTCACGAGGTGCTGCTCACGAGGTGCTGCTCACGAGGTGCTGCTCACGAGGTGCTGCTCACGAGGTGCTGCTCACGAGGTGCTGCTCACGAGGTGCTGCTCACGAGGTGCTGCTCACGAGGTGCTGCTCACGAGGTGCTGCTCACGAGGTGCTGCTCACGAGGTGCTGCTCACGAGGTGCTGCTCACGAGGTGCTGCTCACGAGGTGCTGCTCACGAGGTGCTGCTCACGAGGTGCTGCTCACGAGGTGCTGCTCACGAGGTGCTGCTCACGAGGTGCTGCTCACGAGGTGCTGCTCACGAGGTGCTGCTCACGAGGTGCTGCTCACGAGGTGCTGCTCACGAGGTGCTGCTCACGAGGTGCTGCTCACGAGGTGCTGCTCACGAGGTGCTGCTCACGAGGTGCTGCTCACGAGGTGCTGCTCACGAGGTGCTGCTCACGAGGTGCTGCTCACGAGGTGCTGCTCACGAGGTGCTGCTCACGAGGTGCTGCTCACGAGGTGCTGCTCACGAGGTGCTGCTCACGAGGTGCTGCTCACGAGGTGCTGCTCACGAGGTGCTGCTCACGAGGTGCTGCTCACGAGGTGCTGCTCACGAGGTGCTGCTCACGAGGTGCTGCTCACGAGGTGCTGCTCACGAGGTGCTGCACGAGGTGCTGCTCACGGGGTGCTGCGATAACGAGGTGCTGCTCACGAGGTGCTGCTCACGAGGTGCTGCTCACGAGGTGCTGCTCACGAGGTGCTGCTCACGAGGTGCTGCTCACGAGGTGCTGCTCACGAGGTGCTGCTCACGAGGTGCTGCTCACGAGGTGCTGCTCACGAGGTGCTGCTCACGAGGTGCTGCTCACGAGGTGCTGCTCACTAGGTGCTGCTCACGAGGTGCTGCGCGAGGTGCTCCAAGGTCCTCGAGTACCTCGCTGCACTCCTCCGCACCAACGCCAACTGCACTGCCCTGCAGGTCACACCCCCAATGGCTGCCTGGGAGGGATAGGGGGATGGGGAGTGGGGGGATGGGGGGAGGGGGGATGGGGAGTGGGGGGATGGTGAGTGGGAGGATGGGGGAAGGGTTGGGTGGGGTTGGGTGGGGTGGGGTGGGTTGGGGTGGGGTGGGGTGGGAGGCTGGAACCGAAACTGTCTGTGCAAACTCGCCTTTGGCTTCTGCCTCCCCTTCCCACGCCCGCCTTCTCAACCTCCCTCATCCCTCACTTCGTTCATGCACCCACACCCTCAACTTGAAATGGCGAACATACCTTACATCGTAATGACATGTTCCTAA